GCTTGTGCAAGACTGCGTTATTTGCTCTAGTGAAAATCAGAACCTCGCCACAGTCTTTGGCGTTTGAATCGCGGGTAAGCAAGTAGATCCCCGTTGAATCCACCTATCCCTCTCATCCAATCGAAGAAACATAAGCTGATACCAGGGAGGGACTGGTTCGGCTTCATGGATTGCTAGTTGATGATCTTCCTTCAAGAGCTCATAGTTCTCATAGTTCACAGCTAGATGTGAAGTAACATCTTGGACAATCTGCATTAGAGGTCTCATATCCATAAAATGCTTAGTATTTGAATTTGAATATACAACGGAGTACTATCCTCGTAGGCAAGTGGAATATGGATTGATGACTGTGATTATTGTTTTGTGGAGGTTTGTGGAGGAAAATGAGATAGTATGAAGTGAAGTTTAAACCCACAGCTACCCCTGTCAAAATATCTTGGCGCTCGCGTCCAAACGCGACGTACAGCAGCATTAAAGTAGCAAATTGGTAAATTCCACTGATACCACAACCCCCATCTCACCATACCTACTTTCCGCCATTTGAAGGATTGAGAATTAACACTTCGATCAAAAGTCTAGCATCGTACAACCAAATTTCAGGTTGCCTGCTGGCTCTCCCTCCATCCCACTACTCCCCACAATCAATATGGCGGACACACTGCACAATGCTCCTATCGTTTTAGATAATGGTTCCGGTACGATTCGAGCTGGGTTCGCTGGTGACGATCTGCCAAAATGTTACTTCCCCTCATTCGTCGGGAGGCCAAAACATTTGCGAGTTCTGGCTGGTGCCTTGGAAGGAGATGTGTTTATCGGATCACGAGCGCAAGAATTAAGAGGACTGCTGAAGATTAAATATCCACTGGAACATGGCATAGTCACAGATTGGGATGATATGGAGAGGATATGGGAATATGTCTATGGAGAAGGTCTCAAGACCTTGAGTGAAGAGGTGAGTTTTTTGGTTCAGGTCTAAAGTGGAGTTGTTTGCTATTGCTTCATATCTGGCAAATTAAGCAGTAGTCGATAGATCACTAATACCATTCATGCAGCATCCCGTTTTATTAACAGAACCACCTCTCAACCCCCGAAGCAATCGAGATACGGCTGCACAAATTCTATTCGAAACTTTCAACGTCCCCGCTCTATACACTTCAATTCAGGCTGTCCTTTCACTGTACGCATCGGGGCGAACGACTGGAATAGTGCTCGATGCCGGAGATGGAGTCTCACATGCAGTTCCAGTATATGAAGGTTTCGCCATGCCAAGCTCAATACGAAGGATAGATGTGGCTGGACGAGATGTTACAGAATATATGCAAACTTTATTACGGAAAGCTGGATACGTTTTCCATACTAGCGCAGAGAAGGAGGTTGTGAGAATGATCAAGGAAAAAGTAAGCTATGTTGCAGGAGATCCAAAACGTGAAGAAAAGGAATGGTCTGGTGCAAAGCTGGGGGATGGGAAAGTTGTTGAATACGCATTACCTGATGGTAATAAGATCAAAGTAAGGAATCTGCCATTGACACGCAGTGACGGCGCTGACTACTTCACAGATTGGAGCAGAAAGATTTAGAGCACCTGAGATTCTGTTTGATCCCGAGATTATCGGTTTGGAATACCCGGGTATCCATCAAATTGTGGTGGACGCAATCAATCGCACAGACTTGGACCTCAGGAAGTCTCTATTTGGAAACATTGTTTTGTCCGGTGGTAGCACCTTAACTAAGGGGTTTGGAGACAGGTTACTTCACGAAGTACAACGATTAGCAGTTAAGGATATGAGAATTAAGATCTTCGCTCCACCGGAGAGAAAATACTCAACCTGGATTGGTGGTAGTATCTTGGCTGGTCTGAGCACATTTAGAAAGGTATGTTTCAAGATCTCTCAAGCCTTCTGGCGTAAGATTACTAACCCATATTACAGATGTGGGTAAGCATTGATGACTGGCATGAGAATCCCGATATCATTCATACGAAATTTACATAATACACTCCTGACTCTATCCGCGCTTTTGGCACTCCCAACTCCCCGTCCATCGGCCATCCATCGTCTGAATCCAAATAATAATCGAGTCAAGCCGAATATCCGCTTCTTCGGTCCAAAACTCCACGCAAAATCTTCTTCTCCCACTTCTTCAACTTTAGCGTGGTTTAATCTGCATATGACCTACCATGCATTCGGCGGCGTAGGCAATATTGTTTGCAGGTCTGGAGCTTGGGCTCGTTGCTTATATTTATGGATGTACAGCTATGCTACCTGTATGAGAAAAGATAGACTAAATTCATGATACCCATTATTGAAATGTTTATTTTATTATGCAATGATTTTCAATGTGATATGTGATAATATGATCATCTTATAAATCAATGGCGCAGTGGGCACCAGAGAGACGTCTACAAGCCCTTCATTGTTTGGGGGTGTCTAAACTCTTATATTACTCGCTCTAGCTCTGAGTACCGGTTTTCTAAAGAAGTTGCGAGTTTATGTCAAATAACTCATTTAATTATACATTCAGAAGATCTGGTTTTCATCCAACTCTTCCGATTCCTTTTCAACTTCCTGAACTGCTTCCTCAACAGTCTTTCGACTTGTTTGTCTCATGAACGCATCACATAACATGCCGGTTGCTACACTAACATTCAAACTATCGAGTCTGCCACGGTTACCTGCACCCTTGATCGAAAGATGCACATCAGCGTGATCTCTCAAAGCTTTGCGCAGACCCTCGCCTTCGCCTCCAACCATCAAGATACAAGGATCATCTCGTAGGGGATCTTGAAGGTCGTGGGTCCAGACGAATTCTTGAGAAGCGGGAGGCCACATGTGTCGCGAATCTGCTTTCCGAGGAGCAGGTGGTGCAACTGCTGCGTAGACTTTCCATCCAGCGGCTTGGGAATCCTTGACGAATCCTCCGGGTTTGTTTACGGAGAAGATCTCGATGTTTTCGGCGGCGCCGGCGGAGGCTTTAAAGACGACGGGAGTGAAGGAGGCGCTGTTGCGGGTGGAGATCGCGACGGCTGTTACGCCCATGAATAGTGCTGTGCGCAGGATGGCGCCGAGATTTTGGGGATCTTCTATGCTGTCTAAGAGAAGAATGAGGGGTTTGCGACCAGTGGAATCTTTGGCGACTTTGATTATGGTGTCGTTGCCGTTGACTTCGATCTCTTCCCGGGATTGGTGATCAGGGGTGAGTTTAATGGCGAAGCTATCATCCTGGTCGATTATCGAGCCGAGACTTATGAGTGGGAGGCGAGGGAGAGGAGAAACTTCAAGTATGTATCCGTTGTGTGGACGGCCTTGACTCATCTTGTCTAGGGTTCGTAGCCAGTCGTGCCCTCTTACTATAGCAACTTCGACTCCTTTCTTTTGAGCTAACTTGGCTATGGCGCCGTCTCGCTCTGCATTTTGACGATCTTCACCCTTGAGAATGTAAAGTTTGTAGAGCTTTCTGCTTCTTTTGCGTCGCGCGTTCAAGGCGGCTTCGATGACAGATGTTCCATAAAGGAATTCAGAAGCTGGTGTCGTGTATGGGATGGTGATAGGCATCTTTTGAGCAAAAGTGGAACTTATTTTGGGTGTCGAAAAACTAGAATGAGATTTCGAGGAAGGTTCTGAAGAAGGAAATTCTGTAGATTTTTCAGACTTGGTGGCTTTCGTGGCTAGTCGTTCTTCGCGGGAAGGGTATTTTGAAGGGTACGTATGACCCTTGCTCCATCTTGTTGAGCTATCACGCCCTACCCCGAAGGACTTGTTTGCTCTTTCAGGGTTTGAGTAGGATTTCTGCTCATCGTGAGAACTATTGTCACGAGATTTGCGCTCATAATTCTTCCCATCGAAACGGCGTCTTTCTGGAAGTTCTTGAGATCTGTTGAAAGATCTCTTTTCATAACCAGAGCCTTCGTCCCGGGCCTCGAAAGAACCATAAGATTTCTTCTCATAACCAGATTTGCTACCTCGTGATTCGTTGTACCTGTCAGAAGATTCTCCTCCATATGAGGTTTTGGCCCGAAATTTCTGTGACTTTTCAGGTGTTCCATCCTTATAGTATTCCCTACCCTGACGATTTCCGAAGGGAGAAGGTGTCTTATACTCTGACTTCAATGCATCGTCCCGGCCATTGCCTTTGACTCGTGTGTACATAGATTTGTTCTTGCTTCCGAAGTCATCGCCGGAGCCCCTATCCTGCCGGGGCTTTGAATATGATTTTGATCCAGAAATCTGAAACCCTCGGCCGCCACCATCATCGTTTTGACTGGGACGTCCTTTCTCCTTCCCTCTGAACCCAATTCCTTGAGACTTTCGAAGCCCACGGTTTATGCCAGAATTGATCGAAGCATATCTTACAAAGCAAGAAGATGAATATAACGGTTGAAGAATGTAACTTACTCTTTGAGAAGCTTTTGCTCCTGTTAAAATTATTGTACTCATTGCATTGATGGTGCCATGATGAGATTTCCGCATCATTTTTGGTAATAGAAGAAAGTTGAGCTAAGAAACTTTGATAGCGGAACATACCGAAGCCGACCAAAAGTACGGGTCTCGGGGTTTTAATCCTGGCGTTCATCGACGCGTTGCGTTTTATCAGATTCACTTGAATTTATCTTGAATTTGTGAACTCAAGATTGGTCAACATCAGTGAATGTAGGCGTCTCTTTAGATTTCTTTTCTCTTTCGCGCATTTCTTTTCTTTTGAGTTAGCCGTATTTCCTTTTCTTTCCGTACCCTACAACAAACTTTATTCCTAGATTATACCGCGTCAAACGGCCGGTTAACAGTAAAAACTACCAAATTTACAAAGATCTTTTTGAAAGTTAAATCGCAAGCAACATTGATCACCAATATTTTGTCTACTGCTTTTAATATTAGGTACCTAACTTCTCTTACTCTCAGTTGTATATTCTAACTTAATTTTACCAGGAATATCCTCAGCCAAAACCCACGAGTGCGCCAGTTCGTCTTAAACAAGCAAACGATTCCTGCAAATCTGCGAGCAATATGGCTCAACCCAGCCGCGTTGCTGATAGTGATGAGTCGGAAATAGATTCGGTCGAGTTATTAAAGCCTCGAAATTCTCGTCAGCCCACTCCAAACCCAAATCGAAATCCCGTTTCTGCATTGGCGCATCAGAGTGGAGAGTCTGTCCAAGATTCGATTGAAAGAAATGACAATCTAGATGAGGACGGAGATGAGACTGCCATGGATGTCGAAGATAAGTCCGAGGAACAAGTGGAAGGCGCAAAAGAAGACGCAGATAACACAATCGTCGTCATGGTTCCGGGACCCAGGAACCCCGAGGAATACGTTCCCTATCAAGACGACACAGTATATTCGGTGCTCAAGGAGATAAACGGTTCGGATGGCGAGACATTGTATCGAGTAGAATATGAAGATGAGAGACAAGAAAACGTAAGTTGGGATTTTTTGCTTCAAATAAACACCCAGCTCTCGAGAGATACTGTGATACCACCCTACTATCAAATTGCACTTCCAAAATTCACCAGAATGTTTGGCTTTTCCAACATTTGCGCACAATTCAAGTGGCCATCCCACCTTGAAGCATTTGAACTCCTTCTAAAAGAAGAAGGTCAAATTAAGTGGCCTAATTTTTGCCACATATTTTGCTACACAACTTCTACCCTTTACATCGTTGACTTCAACTTTGACTTCACCACGGAGCTTGACAGGTTTGATAACTTCACTCTTGCCTATTATTGCTAGTATTGGCAAAATTTCAAGTAGTTCTTGTAGTTGAGTTTGCCATGCCCATCTTTGGTCTTCAATTAACCACAATAAAATACTTTTATTGAGAACAACCTCGATTTATCAGACATCTGTCCCTTCTATCATCTCCTTTGCTTCAATCAAACATCAATTCTTCAGTTATTTCCAGTGTCAATGGAGCCATCCGTGTTTCCCGTTGTGGGTGGCAGCAGTAAACTGCGCGTATGTCTATTGATGAAGATTTTCATATTATCTCATAAGTCTTCACACCAAGAGGTATCACTTAAGCTCAAACTCTGACTAAACCAATTATAGATCACGTTCAACAGGTTATCTCACCTTCCAAACGGCAACAATGCTCTGAATGAGTTTAGAAGCAGAGAAGCCTCGGAGTCGATTACGGTGATGATCCATCAAATTCCAGCCGGAGCATGTCTTCCAGAGTTGGCAAACGCACTCGCCGACAGCTGACTTACAACAACTTTGTCGACATCAGCAGCATTCAGCTAAGCTCTGACGATGACAGGCTCCCGAAAAATGCAAAGAAAAAGCGTCGTCTTGTGAACAACATGTCAACTGTTGAAATTGAAAAGGCACGCCGAAGTACTCGTGCTGGAAGTCGACAGTCTTCGCGACCCATATTTGATGACGATGAGGAGGACGAGGATGACTCGGAATCGGGACCTGTTCTTTCAAATGGCCATGGATCTCGAAAATCAGGACGTACAGCAACGAGATCTGCTGCTCCCAGAAAAGCAAATACTCTCGCCCAATTACATGGAAGACGAAGAGGAGGAGGACGAGCTTGCTGGTGATTTGCAAGTCGAATCTGAAGGAAGCGAAATTGCATATGCTAAACCTAAGAGACGACGCGCAAGTAGTGCTCGAGCCTCGAAGCCTGACAAGCGTGGACGGCCACAAGCCCATGGTATTAAATCTGATTATAGTTCTAAGTTACCTACAGAGCTCCCGTCTCGCATATCGAGGCGTGGAAACAAAACTGGCAAGAACATGGAAGAAGTTGACATCGACGAAGAGGTTTATGCTGACGAAGTAGCTGGAAAGGCCGCACCTAAAGTCATAAGCATTCGAGAGATCTATCGACCGGTATCCGCGAAGTCTTCCTTTGCTTTGGTTCATGATCAAGACTGCGATGTTTGCGGTGGAACCGGCAAGAATTCTAACAAAGGACGAAGTGAACTCATTTACTGCCAAGGATGCTCCTCGTCGATACATAGAATTTGTCTAGGATATCGATCAGGTCGGGAACATATGGTCACTAAAGTTTGGCGACGAACATTTCGTTATGCAGTGTCGACGCTGTATCGGTCTGTCCGTCAAAAAGATCCTCTCGCCCCTCAACTTGGTGCTTGTAGTAGCTGTAATGAGCCTGGAGCATCCTGTGCTGCATTCTCCGTAAAGAAAACCGCGAAGCAGGAAGAGAAGTTGAGGGAGGAAAATAACGGCGATGACCCAATCACAATGTTCGCGAAGATCTTGTCAACAATCCAGAAAATGTTTTATTCCGATGCCGAGGGTGCCAGCGTGGATTCCACTTTGAGCATCTACCATCACGTTCTGAGAAATCGGTCATTCCAAAGAAAACGGAAGAGACGCGCTTCAAAAGAATACAAGAATACACTAAGGATTGGCAGTGCAAGGAGTGCTATCGGTCTATTGCAAAAATGCAAACTTTAGTTGCATGGAGACTATTAGACCCCAAGCCTTATAAGAAAGGCAGTGTATTCCATGATTATCGCGAAGATGAGAAGGAGTATCTCATCAAGTGGGAGGATAAGTCTTACTTTCAATGCTCTTGGATGCCTGGATCCTGGGTTTGGGGTGTTGCACCGGCTACAATGCGGGAAAGCTTTCATTCGTAGAGATGAGGGTGCTAATTTGTTACCAAAAATGGACCATTGAAGAGGCCATTTCGGAGGAATACCTACGAATGGAGATTATTTTCGATGTCGAATATGACATGTCCTTCAGACCAAGTCCGAGGAACACGACAAGGCTCATATCAACGACGGTTGTCCAGGTTCTAGTCAAGTTTAGAGGATTGACCTACGATGAATCTGTTTGGGAGGAACCACCATCCCCAGATGAAGCTGATCGCTGGAGTGACTTTGTCTCAGCTTACAACGAATATGTTATGGGCAGTACTCAAGCAATCGCCTGCAAGCGCTGTAAAGGAGCGTATTGATGCATTTCGTTCTCTAAACTTTGAGAAGAAAGTTGTACTGAAGAAACAACCTGATTCGTTGATCGGTGGCGAGATGATGAAACATCAATTGGAAGGCCTAAACTGGCTACTGTTCAACTTCCATCAACAAAAGAATGTTATTCTGGCTGATGAGATGGGTCTTGGCAAGACAATTCAAATCGTCGCCTTGATCGCGTCACTTGTGAAGGATAAACCAAAGGTAAGTGCTAAACAATCCTCGACTGACCCCACTAACATTGCGCCAGTGCTCCCCTTTTCTCGTTGTTACACCAAACTCGACTTGTCCCAATTGGCGTCGAGAAATCAAAAAATGGGCACCTGGCCTTCGGGTCGTTGCATACTATGGTGCAAGGTCTGCTCGCGAAATGGCCATGAAGTATGAAATGTATCCCAATGAGTGCTCTAATCTCCGTGCTGATATCGTGGTAACTTCATACGAGGCACCAGTCGACGACTCCAGCAAAGGCTTCTTCAAAAAAGTCAAATGGGCTGGCATGATCGTAGACGAGGGCCAACGACTGAAGAATGATGAAAATCTTCTCTATGGTGCTTTGAAAGCCTTGAAAATACCATTCCAAGTTCTTCTTTCTGGCACACCATTGCAGAATAACAAGCGAGAACTTTTTAACCTTCTACAGTTCTTAGATAACTCTATTGACGCCGCGGAGTTGGACGAAAAATATGCTGAGCTAACAAAAGACAATCTTCCCGAACTTCATGAGCTCATTCGACCATTTTTTCTCAGGCGTACCAAGTTACAAGTGTTGAAGTTCCTGCCTCCCATGTCACAGACAATCATACCAGTCTCTATGAGCTCTCTACAGAAACAGCTTTACAAGTCAATCTTAGCAAAGAATCCAGAGTTGATCAAATCAATCATCGGAAAATCAGAAAGGGCCCTCCGTCCCACAGAAAGAGGAAATTTGAACAACATTTTGATGCAACTGCGTAAATGTCTTTGTCATCCTTTCTTGTACAGTTCTGCTATCGAGGAGACTTCATTGAGTCATGAAGCCCTTCATCGAAATCTAATCGATGCCTCCTCTAAGTTTCAATTATTGGAAATCATGCTCCCGAAGCTGCAAGCTCGAGGACACAGAGTTCTGATCTTCAGTCAATTTTTTAAAGCAACTTGATCTCGTTGAAGACTTTTTGAATGGTCTCCAACTCCCTTTCAAGCGTCTAGACGGTACCGTCAGTACGCTTGAGAAGCAAAAGCGCATCGATGCATTCAATGCGCCCAACTCAGAACTTTTTGCGTTTCTCCTTTCTACCAGAGCTGGTGGTGTCGGAATTAATTTGGCGACTGCAGATACCGTTATAATCATGGATCCCGACTTCAATCCTCACCAGGATATTCAAGCTCTCTCTCGAGCTCATCGCATCGGCCAAAAGAAAAAGGTACTTGTCTTCCAACTAGTGACTAAAGATAGTGCAGAAGAGCAAATCGTACAAGTTTGTCGTAAAAAGATGGCTCTCGATCAAGCTCTTATCGAAAGTATAGATGTGAAGGACGATGCAGGAGACAATCTTGAGGCAATTCTTAGACACGGCGCTGAAGCGGTTCTTCTTGACGACAATAGCAAAGATATTTACTACGATCCAGCATCAGTTGACGAACTCCTCGATCGATCTCAGGTCGAGAATACTACTAATGATGATGGCACCGCAGAATCTCAATTCTCACATGCTCGTGTGTGGATCAAAGACAAGGGTGGATTGGTAGAAGATTTCGGAGACACAGAAGACGAACCGGCTGCTCCAAAGGCGCTATTATTGGATGCTATATTAAAACAGCGTGCGGCAGATGCAGCCCTTGAAGCTGCCAAGAACAGCAAACGTTTGGCCGTGGAAAGCCGCGCCCGACAGGTGAGTCACGTGCCAGTCATTTTAGACAGTTTAACGAGTCATTTACTAACTGCTTAGACCGTTTGACTACGAAAAGTCACATCCTGAGCTAATGGATCTGGATGATCCCGAAGGCTCCGCCACGAAAAGATGGTCGCCGGACTCGAAAATCTGATAGCGATGACGAGTTTTGGCGGAAATGCTTGCGAGGGAGTCCGAAGCTGAGTCCGACGCGGATGAAGTCGCCAATGCCGAGAACTGGAAACGAGCAATCAAGGCGTCAAAGGTACGAATCTAAAAGGCGTATAAAACGCACGTCCATTTTCAATGAATCAAAACGCAAAATGAACACTCAAGGAGGTGCTAAACCACGTCTTCGATCACTCACTCTCACGTTACCATCCCCTAAAAAAATTGGTAAGCAGGAACGTGGCTCTAAGATTCAGCCAGATAGCTCTGCACTTGAATCAACAACAGTTAGCAACAAGAATCTTTCTGTGAAATCAATTCGCGGTAAAGATGGGAAGCATAACAGGGATATCTAATCGTCATTGTGTTCATTCACTATGGATGGTCGTCAAAAAGTGGCACATTCGCACGTTTCAGGGGCCGTTAAGAAGCGAGCTTCGCTGGAAGAGTATCGAGACAATCCTGCCGATGAAGCCATTGTTTCACATCGAACCACTTAAGTGTTCATGCATTCTAGCTTAAAGCAAAATACCACATCCAATGGATTGCTTGATTCTGCAATGCTAACTCCGGATTCTGTCAAGGAACAGAATTCTTCAAGCCACTATTTATAATCTCTCACTTCTTCTCGTGGTTTCTTTGCAATGATCAACAATTTGGGTTATCAATCCCGCTAACGATAAGCAGATGATAACTATACTGGAGACCAAGAACCGGCGATCGCACTTCAGAAGATTTATACAGACCAAGAAAATTGGCAACAAGTGAGCACTAACAACCAGCGCGTCTTTTTCAACACTCGACAGATACAAGACTGGATTGATATCGGCCACAATCTCCTCGAAATTTGTAGGAACAATATACAAGGATTGGTAGCATCGAATCAAAATGAGCACGATATCAAGGATCAATACAAGTATCTGCAAGAGCGTATTCGAGAAGTTCTCGATCAACCACTATGGTGGTTTAGTCAAGAAGAAGAAAAGGTTCGACTATTTTGGCAAGAGCTCTCTCCACAATTGGTGGAAGAAAATCATCAATTGCAGCAAGACACCGCACATTGGGTACAAGCGAGAAATCAATTAGTACCACCACAGGATAATCGTGCTTTAGACTACTCACGGCAGCTACAGGAATACCAACGACGATCAGAAGAGTGGCTTGATCAGGGTAGCAAACTCATCGAACGTCACAATGAACTCAAACAATACTGCGAACCAGAGTTACAGAAGCGAGAAGATCCAACATCGCGATATGTTGCGCTTTGTAGCGAAATAAAAAAGTTACGACTGGTTTGCGGCAGTGAAAGAAAGAGACTTGAGGAGCTGGTTCGACCATCCGGGGACAATCCAGAGAAGTATAGGCAAGAAAATCGTCAAGTTGAAGGAATGTCTATGGCTTCAGATCCACAGAAATCAGCAATCCAGCATCATGGACAACAAGAACCTCCCAACGGCGAGACGAGGAAGCGAGCACCCTATAAGAAACGCAAAACAGCCGAAAGCGAGGCAGTCGACAACTCTATCAGAGACCAACTCGTAGATGCCGGAACTCCTTTTGTAAAAGAGCTCGAAAATGATTTTGCATATCTGGACAACAATCCGCTAAGTCTTCCAATTCATGACAACAGTGAAAGTTACTACGAAAAACTCAAGGATTACGTGCAACGAATTGAAAAGCGGGTACAGAGATTACAGTACTATCAAGAAGCTTTCGACCAACAATTTCGAATTTATAGACCACGTGACGCAGAACGCGCCAAACGTGACTTGGCTTACAAGAAACGCAAAATAGCTGAGAAAAAGTCGGGTGTCAAGTATTTTCCTATTGAGGATCACGCAGCACACATACAAAAACTTGATCAACAGCTACGAGAAAGTGCAGAAAGTCAACTACAGGCCATGAACTACGCCGTTGGACTGTTGAAAGCAGAGGAACGTAACCGATCGGAGCAAAGCTTTCACAAAGCAACATATCCAGCAACTGTACCAGGATTCGCGGGATCATTCCATCAAGGAACGCCGTCTAGAACACCAGTAGAGGATCTTCATAGAATGTCTATGCCAGTTACCGATCTACAATATCCGCCATCACATTTCAAAGAATCGCCTAAATGCTACACCACTTGCCCATCATCTGGTCAACATGCAAGAGATCCTATCCAACTTGGTTCGGAATTCAGTGTTTCAAACAGATCGAGTCCAACTAGTCGACTGATTCCAGCCATAGAGATCCCTGTGAAACGTAAACGAGGTCGCCCTCCTGGATCTACGTCACATCAGCGGACTTCCTTGTCATCAATGCCACCAATCCTTCCAAGTCCATCTCGGCCTCAGGTACAGTCTTGTCCAGACTGTAATTTTGCTTACTCGAAGCTGATACCTGCATGTCCCAATCACACTCCTACTGCAAAGATTCGTCTAATGCTCGACAATTTGAAAGGTATCAAAGACGATTCTCAGCAAGTGGCAGCTGCAAACAAGTTGTTGAAAGAAGCATTGGCATCAAAATCTGCTGCTCAAATTTCCCTTCGAAAATAAAAAAGATCTTGAGTAATGCTCTATCTATCGTTCGTCAAAACCAGATGGTCTCTATTTCCACTCGGTTACATACGACTGTTTAGGTTGACAATGCCCTTCTTCATCACATACCACAATCGACCACTACGCTTGTTATTTATGCCTCATTCGACGAAATCGCTTATTCTCCGCATTAGAAAATATGATAACGACCTGGAGGAATTATACATCCGATCTTTCTTTAGTTTTTCTAAGAGATTCCATAAGGTTCTGGAAATAGACTCAGCAATCAGATAATGTTTAGAGACGTTTTAAATAATGGTGGTGAATTTATGCATGACTTATCCAGGTCTCGCGCAAAACTTTTTCCTTCAAAGATTCTCGTGCGGCCTTGGAAAAGAAGAAATTATTTGAGAGGAGCCCTGGAGGGTAAGGAGTACAATGCCTGGAGCATCAATTAGATGGTTGTGCACAGCCAACCATTATAGATACAGAAAGAAAACAGAATTAAAAAATTCAATAACATATCAAAACAGCCGAGTGCTCGAAGTACAATGGTAATGGTGATCGTAATGTGGACATCTACTGCTGGTAGATGGGCGAGTGCACTTGTGATGGATGTGATGAGAAATCGTGAAAGGTATGTATATAATGTTTCCCGAGGAGAATTCTCATCGACTTATAGAATTTCCTTCTCGGGCTGTTCGGAGGTATAGACTGCGGACCAATAACCAGAAACTTTCAATTTCTGGTTCTAACTAAATTGGTCTGATAACTTAGCCCCACTTGGGGTATGTGAAGAAGTCTTCACTACTTCACTAGATGCTAATGGTAGATGAGTTATCCTCGAAGGAACAGAATGCGGAACGTTCGCCGATGAGCTACTCTGCTGATCCCCATTCTATTGCAGAATCATATCCCATTGCTATTTCTATTGTCCTGGATCCATATCGTTGCTAATAAACACAATTTGCTATTAAAAACCTAATGCAATGAACAATCTCATTACCAGTATCAGAACCTTTCCTATCTATCTTACAAACCATCCCTGACCCTATGCTAACGTTTTCGAGATCTACCTACCTACCTGTCCGGTTTCTCAACTTCGTAGCAATTGAAACGTCTTCATAGCTGCATACCTAGGTATATCCCTCAACCGCATCAATCAAAACTCGAAGAGTCAACTCAAAACCGCACAGAGACCCGCAATACCATCGACTCAAAGTACCTACCGTAAGCCAGAACAAATTCCTCTAGATAATATACCGCCAGCTTATTCATCCATCTCGACGTCATCTCCAGCATCGTTCATGTCATTAACATTCTGCTTCTCGCTCTCGTTTTGGGGTACTCCACCACTTCCATTGTCTCTGGTAGAACTCGTGGTATTATCGGAATCGACATTGTTAGCATCCGATCTCTCCACCCGAGCCTTTTTGTTCTCTCTCTCGTAACTCTCTTCACCAGTGTAATTACCATACACACCCCGAATTTCTCCATCTCCGCTCGCAGTGTTCTCATCACGAGCTCCGGAGAAGCCAGATAATACACCAGCTGCAGCATTAGATGGAGCTAGAGTAGAAGGGCTGGGAAAGTACGGAGAAGGACGACTCGAACCTGTTTGATTGAGATGGCCAGCCCAGAAGCTGGAATTGGCATCCACGGGCATGGAGGGATACCGAGGCCGGTAGAGATCATGTCTTCTTGGTGGTGTCTTTTTCTGGCATCGGAGCTCGGTGTCTAGGAGAGCCGAGATCCATGGCCTTGTCGGTGCGTGCAGAGCTGGATCCGTGGCTGGAGTTTGATTTGTCGGTATTGTATTTGGTGTGTGTGCCGGTGAAGGGAGGATTGAAGTTGAATTGTGAGTGAGGGGTAGCGGGACGATCGGGCTCGGCGCCGTAGAAGAAATTGGTGTTGTGATTGTTAAATATTCCTTCGTCGTCGCGGGACTTTGGAGAGGTATATTCGTCTTGGTTGGTGGTGGTGCCACTTGCACGTGTAGGGTCAGAGAAAGAGCGGGCGTTGTTGGAGGACCATGGGACTGTATCTTCTGGGTCGACTTCAACCCTATAGGTTGTGTTAGTTTGTGATCGATATTTGTATAGGGGAATGGGATGATATACTTAGGCTCTGGCTTCCAATCATCATCAGAGAATTCATCATCGCTGCGAGGATCAAACATGTCATAAAGAACATGATTGACAGTCTTTCGACCGGGAGCAGGCTGTTCCTTCTCCGTCACCGTCTCCTCAACCTTCACTCTGGGTGGTCTATTGTTCTTAGTCACCTCTTGCCACTCTCTGATCTCAGATTCTCTCTCCTTGTGACTGTCGTTATCATCAGCCTCAAGATTTAACTTCATCCTATCACAAAGCTAGTTAGTCACAGTCAAAACTTTACAAGTCAAGTTTTGCTGGTAGGCTTGGGATCACAAAGTGCAACGGCGAACATACCTATCTTCACCAGCACTGACATTGGCTTCCATGCTATCCGCTCTCTGACGAGATTTGCCACGGTTCTTACGTTCCCAGCTCTCCCAACGTTTCTTGGGATCATTGGGGTCGTGTTCAAACTCGTAGTAGTGACGTGTGCGGTGGGAACCATGTCGAAAAATGCGGCCGTCTTCGAGTTTACTACCTGATTTGAGGAAGCATGGGTTGGGGTTTGCTCTGTAGGAGACGTATTTATTAGTTCTTGTTTTGGTGAGAAATTCAGGGGGTTAAATGAAAGACTCATGCATAAGAGATGAATAGGGGATCCGAAGTCATGTCAGAGATGGAAGTGCATGCTGTATGCTCCGAAGTTTGACCAGAAAAAAAGCAACTTCATAGGATCTGGAAATCCAGACCAATGGAAAGACCAAGAAAAGTAAAATCGCACACTCTGCTTACCTCATTGTGTAAAGACCATGAACGTTCTTAGGACATGGATTCCTATCTTCTTGCTTGAGTGTATGCTGAATATGATCAAAACAAATTGTTTTGATCATAATCTTGCAACTGCAAGCAGTGTAGGTGATGAGAGTATCTACACACATCCTGACAGAGCTGCAGACTGAGAGATGTGATGAGGCTGACGATCAAGTAATAGAATAAATTGAGTCTTGAAGCTCGAGTCTGAATAAATAAGGGTGGATGTGACGGAGTTGCAAAAGTCGGGGTTTAAGCTGAGGTGGGCAAAAAAGTAAACAACAAAGTTGTTGAAAGACTTTTCCCTATATTGAAAGCTCTAGCTTGAACTCAAAGATAGATAAAAACAACTTTTTTAATGTACAGTTATTGTTTATATCTAGTATGGATGAAGTCGGGAATTTTCTGTGACAAAGTCGAAAGAAGCTTTGTTGTGCAGGAATTGGAAATTGAGAAGATTTTTTCCTTTTTATGGCGCAAGAGATTGCAAAGGAACTTTCTGGAACTATAGCGGCATGATTGTCTATTCACTGGCTACAGTAAAGGTTTGCTGTATACTATCTAGTCAGATGATATCAGAGAAGTCTGTATGCTGGAATTAGTGAATGGGGTTGTTGAAATTTTGGATGATAAGTTCATGATAGTGAAAAATGACTTCAAAGCATTAGAGCATTATGTTGCTTTTATGTTATTTAGCAAGGTTATTCACATCTTGGAAAAGCATAACAGAAATTTCATAGAGTACCAGTTTCTTCCAAAGGGCTGTAGCATCGTATAATCCCACTGGCTGTGATTAATGCGATTCAACAACAGAGCTTTCCGATAGCTTCTCTTTATAGCCTATAGCTAGTATAGTCACCGTTAGTAGATCCGCTGCAAGCACATCGACATCAAGCAGTATCAAATATTGCTATTGCTAAGTCCACAAATCAAGAATATGCTGCGCACTTGATTTTAGAATGACAAGTGTTTGTCCTACTACCCTGCTAACTACCGAATGACTTCCTAAAGGACGATGTCCACGCAAAGAAATTACTTGTACAAGGTACTGTTCCCAAACCACTAGCCAATGTTCACCCCCATTCTCAATCAGACGTCAAATCAATAGCTGTCTCAACATTGCTCCCTGCCATAACCGCATCATTGTGCTGGACTACCGCTGACAAATTTGTATCGAACGACTGGAGTTGTTGCTGAGATCTGAAACTACCTACAGCTATGTTATTAAGTTTAAAGGCTCCAGTGATGCACCACTACGCGGCGTGATTGTATACGGGACAAGTCAAGATGGACAGGAAAAGAACTTACCTCTGCTTTGCGATCGGCTGCCGCCTTCTGTTTTCAGGTAATCATTACCAACTTGTTGCTTCTGTTCCTCAAGTATTCTGGCGTCTTGCTTTCGAAGATATTCTTCTCGAGAAGAACTTTAAAGTTAATTAGCGAATATTCAAAACGTCTATTAGGCAGGTGACTAGTTTCCTACATATTCTTCGCTTGACGCGGAAGTCTTGAATTTGTCATCTCCTCATTCATGGCATGCGTACCAACTTGGTTGCTCAAACTCGACTGATTCATACCTATCGTATATCTAGTAAGCTCTGCATGATTCTTCTTTAGTCAGATTGGATGAAAGATACGCACCTGATGGTAAATACTCTGACAGGTCCTCATCACTGTTGGCTTGTTCTAGATCATTAGTCACGTTGCTACTCCTAGTGCCTAAGCCAGCTGATTGACGTTGTTTGTATTCATCGCTGACGATGTATGCAGCAAGCTTTCTCTCGCGAAACTCGAGCAGTGATTCATTTGGCCGTTTCGGGAATTGCTTCTGATACGAGCGGTGAAAGGCAAAGGGGGTTCTGTTCTAAATGTTAGCTTGTTTTTCAATCAGATTTAGCGAAAACTTTACAACATCTGACGATATTCTCGTTTATTTTCTCAGTGCCTGTGTCCTGAGCTTCGTGGTCAATGTCTACCCGTATTTTGCGTTCAGAGTTCTCGGTCTGGGGTTTATTATTGCTAGACATCTCATCTTTCAAGATCATTGGATCAGAATACTGGGAATTACCCTTTCGCGTATCTTGGTCTCGTTTGTTCTCGACTTGTAGTTTGGCAGCGTCAGCCTTCTCAAGACCCGTGACATCTTCCATACTCGCAATGAGTCCAGAATAATACAAATCCCTCAATCTCTGGTTGCGTGCCTGTTCGCTCTCACCAGCCAGCTTATTTTCGCTAGACTTCCTCTTCTTGGCAGGCTTACATGGAGCATAATCAAAGTATTGGACGTCTCTCTTTCGCTTTTGTTGTACTTCAATATCGGCTTCATCATCAGCATCCGTAATATCTCCCATTACCTGATCTCCAAGTGAAGTGCTGATCACTTCCTGTTGATTATTTGTAACTTCCGCACGACCAGTGTGATTCAAAAGATCAACACCATCACCATCTTGGTTTTCCTCTTTGGAAGATTTGCGATTATTGGTATTCTTCTGCTTCTCTGCTCCACGAGTTCTTCTCCCTTCTCGATTTCTTGCTGAAGGTTCAAATTTCCTGAGTTGCTCGCGAAGTCTTTAAATAGTTAGCGAAAGCAAGAATAGTACGACGGGGGGTATTTTGGTTCCTACTTTCGATTGACCTTTGTCAGTATTTTCTCCTGAACTTGCCTAGTAGAACATATCAGTATTTACAGTCTTCTGAATCAAAAAGGTCATTTGTACCGGTGCTCCTCTTCACTATATTCAACGTCCTCAGCATAACTTTCCACGCCTTCAATGACCGTGCATGCTCTGATTTGATCGAGGAGTTTCTGTAAGCGGTGATTTACCATTTTTGCTACAATAATCCAACTATCATTGGCCAAGTTTTGTTGCGGGAAAGGAATATCCTGCACAAATCTCTCCTTCATGTCTTGATCATGTAGCATGTTTGCCATCAGTATTTGCTTCCGCTTTTTTTGAGTAGATTCTGTAATTCAGATTTCAGCGGGAGGTGAGAGTTATTCGTAGGTGAAGTTTTATTCTGAGGAAGAGACTTGTCTTCAACAGATTTCTCTTCAACATCATTTTCCTCGTTGATTTTCTCTTGACGCGGCTGCTTGAATACGTTGTTGCTTACACGTGGACTAACTGTGGCCTCTTTGTTACGAGTAGTAACGGTTCCATAAAACTTACCCAACTTCCTATCAACCCTGTGTTTTTCCTCCATCCACATCTCCCGAGCGGTATCTTGCTGAGAAAGCGTGAAATCTTGTAGAAAAGCGTCAAGCTGACTAAAATCATGGAGAACATCTTGCTCGTTTCGGTTGCCTGGTATCTTCGACTGATCTTGAATTTCTTGGAGCTTTCTAATTGCCTTTCTCTGGAAATTTTCCTGTGAATAACTTGGTTCTTTTTTAAAGACATCGGATCGTCTCCAAGTCTGTATAGCATCCTGAGTTTTCTGTTCCCGCTCAAGAGCTTGGAGTCTTGATTGCTCTGCAATTTCCTGATGCTGCTTAGCTCTTCTTTCGGCATCTAGTTCGATTTCACTGGGATTCAAATGAGGATGAGACTCAGGGCTTGCATATTTCGCTTGAGATGTTTCCACTTGGTATAGCTCAAGAGGTGTCGGATCTCTGCGGGAAGAATCCGGAGCATTTTGTGGAGCTACTTGCGGGTTTCCCACAAGTGTGACTGAAGCTTGGTGCGAAGTTTCATAGAAACCTTTAGGTGTAGAGTTCGATGCCTCATTAAGGTCTGCCATTTGTAATTTTTCTAACGGCTGTTCGGAAGGAATGTAGTTGTTCAATCCGAAATTCCTGTCATCAGACTCCGGCAAAGTATCGTTATACTCTAGGGAAACGACAAATTCCGATACTCCATTCCATGGTTTACCTAAAACCTCGATGGTCTCAACGGTAGAGGGGTCATTATCCTCTCGGCTAGGGATGTGCGTGTTGAGATGTTGGAAATTATCCTGAACAGACAGACCAGATTCGTGTCCTTGATCCTTCGATTTCTCCTCCCGGAAAACAACTCGTTGTGTGTACGCATTTTGTAAGAATTCGTTTCTCTTCTGATCATGTCCCCTCTCGCGCTGATCTTGCAAGCTTTCACCCGCAGCAACAGGAGCTGAAGAAGTTTCCAAGGAAGCAGGGACTTCTAGTCTTGCTTCACTTGCGTCCTGGTCGTGAATATTATTCTCGCGGATGGCAGTAGTAGTAGCAGGGTCTATTAAACTTTGTTGGTGATTTCCCGGCGGTGTTCCAAGATTCTTCTTCTCTTTTCCCTGTTTCTCCTTCAGAATTTGAGCCAGCTGCCAAATAGGCATGAATTTCGGCCCAATTGGAATGGCTGAACGCATTTTCGTATCAGCAGTCGATTGCACCCCCGATTGAACTCCTTGGCTCTTCTTTTTCTCTCTACGCGGTCGCTCTGCCTCTCGAATTGACATAGCCTTTGGACCGGTTGGAAATATTGGTTGGGTTCGAGCAGTAGTAGTCAATAATGACAGCACGCTTTGTTGATTCTGACGATCGGTGTTTGTTTTTAGTTTTCTTCCATATTCAACTTGGTTGATATGTGGAGCCGAAGCTTTCCTCTGGTGTTGTGGCAGACCAACGCTTGGCGGACGAGATGGCAAATGCTGACGACCATCTGCAGCGGCTTCTTTCTGGTCTTTCAATTGCCTCCACTCAACTACAGCATCATCAATACTGCCAACATGATGGTTTGTCGCATTATACCGTGGAGGGAGCTTCTGACCTTTTGATCTGGACAAATTGTGCTCGGTCGAAAACATTTCGTTTTTCTCCAGTTGAACCTTTTCGTAAGTTTGAGTCTCCTCAGGGAGCTGAATACCTCCTGGTATCATCGGATGTTGAATATTACTGGGCTTTCGAGTTTTGCGGCTCTGCCACGTAACCATTCCCTTCTCTGCCAACATGACCCAATCTTTGTCTCTCCAATCTACCTGCTTATCGTCTCCATCCCACTCACTATCATTCCATGCTTGCGCACTTGGGTTGTAACCATCTGGAACATTGCGATCTCCTCCTCTAAGTAGCATATCCACGTTGGAGCAGTTCTCCCATTCTCGGCCGCGAAATTGAAATTTTACTGCAGATCCGGGATTCATGCTACAGTTAACACTTCCAACAAAGTCACCTCCCCACATCCTGCTACAAACAGTGTCGAAGGCTCGCGGATTGAGTTTGCAATTACATCTCGAACCTCCGATGTTGATATGCTCAGATTTCAAGTTTGGACATTTCAACGCCGAAAGAACGCGATCTTGCGGAGACGTAAGTTCATTCTTATTGGATGATTCGTTGGCGCAAATTAATAAGTGAGTGTACTGGCCCCAACACTCATCATAAGTAGTGATCCTGAACATACACATCTTGATGATGATGTACTCCAGTCGTGGTTGTGTTTGTTTCGTTTGTTGTGGAGGAATAAACAAATCTTGACGAGAAGTTTACTTCATGTTCATTTCAGCCTCGCGGCCTGAACGGCGCTAAGCAGAATGAGAATTTAACCTGGTGTAGGTAGGTAAAGTGAATTTCAATTATGGTGGGCTGTAAGCGGAGTGAAGAATGAAGTGAAGTTTCGAAGAAGTGAAGTCAAGAAGTTAGTTATCACCTGATTGTCTGGAGACACCAAAATAAATAATTTTTTACTCGCGAGCCTTATTAAATCATCCCGAAAACGTTACGAAGACAAGTTATCAAGAGCTCTCTTGAAACTGGAATCTTGAGTAATCCTTGGGTTTTCACTTTTGTATCAACTTGACAGAGGTTCCTAAGCACATTCTCTCGAGAAGTTAACTTCTTCGCCTCGTGCAGCATCTTCCCGAATGAATTATAACTTCTGCATATCATGCTGAGACTCTCAACACCGAGCAATATTTCATACATAACGCACTTAATGAACCATTGATCTTATCTTGCAACTTAGATTTCAAAAGAGGCATCACTATCACTTCACGATTCCAACTACATCAATATATCACCGACACACAGCAGCTTCGCCAGTGATGCTCATTAGCAAACGTTATCATGCCTTCGCACCATCTCCTAACCACAACTACCCTCCCAATGCTCACCATTACATTGTCCCAGGTATCTTCCCTGATCCCACCCCATCCAACCATTAACACTCACTCACTACGCAGTCAATCACAAACACAAGGACCAACATTACAATGCATGTATGGGTAAAAGTATGACATTCAGCGCTAGCTATAGCTACTTTCCATTGCAACACCTTCAATTCAAGTTCCGCTCCTCGAAGCATCATCCGCTCTAACAATCCAATCCTACTCGAAAACACCCATTGACCATCTCGTTCTTGTCTGAGATCATTCCTACAAAAAATGAGTCATCTATCTTGATATTTCGCTATGTTGAATGTATCCTTATCCGAACCAAGTTTCGATTGTTTGACGCTTCTCGGATGCGATGCTCGCGTTGCCATTCTTCTTTTCGATGGAAGCAATGAATATATCATTGCCATCTGCCATCTACTTCTTAACCTTCGGCTTCTTATTCCCTGACTTCTTCCCTGCCGCATTTTCGTCACTTTTATCACTTCCATTACCGTGCGATCCACCAGCCTTTCCATCAGATTGTTGGTTAGGCTTATCACCCGTGGGATCACGATATTGCCGCTTGTCTCCCCCCCGCTTATCGCCTCCACCTCTACCAGGAGCACCACCGGAATGGGTGCTGGTAGAATTGGATCCTCTCTCCATCTTGACTATAACAAAGATTTATTATAATACTGATGAGTGTATAAAAATAGATTATCAAGTTACAATGATGTAGAATAACGAAATCTAATGTATTGTTGAATATTGTATAGATAACCCACCGAGGGGAAAAACGAACCTTTATATAGGAAATCTAACATTACAATGGGTCTGCATGTAAAGCCCCAAGGAATTTACTTTCCTGTACATCAGCAATAAAAAAAGCCGATCTACACGTGCATCTGCAAAAAGAAGACTGTGGAAGAACATGTTCCGGTCGCCAATGGGTACTACCGGCTTGAAAAAAATGTTGATGAATGCGTAAAGACAGGACTTGGGCTGGGAATGGCGAGAAACGTTTCAAGACACGTGTATGTTCATATTTCTATTATGCCAAATCAAGGTTTTGAGAATGCATGCAGACTTCAAGCACAAGCTCGATCTTCTATGCGAGCTTTTAATCGAACCATTGCTTTCCGTTATATCACAGCTTAAAAGGAACGATAAGGCCTCCCATCTAGCAGGCCAAGTAAAACAATCTTTTGTAGTTGAGTTCTAGACGTTGAACAGTGTTTCGCATAAATCAAGTCACGAGGCGGAAAACGCATGTAAAGTGCCAGAAAAAAGACAAAGATGATAAAATCACTTACCTCAATCACAAATTCACAAAAAACACGCACGCATCAAATATCAAATATAAAAAGAACGCAAAGATCATTGCCACCTATTTACCCATCCATTAATACTCAGCCAGTGTAAAATAAAAAGAATGAACGCCTCAAGTGTATTGGTGCAATATCAGACCTCAGAAAACATCTCTTGATAGACTACGCCTATTGCTATTACACCTTACCAAAATGCGAGAGTCCATTCGTTCCCTATCCTCCCTGCCCTCCCTGCCCTACACAGCCCGCTCTGACGCAAGGAGCAATAATGAGGACGAACGGACGTAACGCACGCAGCAAGCACCCTTATGATTCAGATCCATTCTTGACCGCACGCATGAAAAAGAAGATGAGAGGAAACAACAAAGATCTTGCGAGAAAAAAGACAGACCAGAGAAGAAACTAACGTGGCACAATTTGCGGAAGAAAAGAGACATATTTGTCCGTTCGTATGCCCTGAGATATTTGTGTCGAAACCCAGATGTGTAGTAAGAAAGAAGTGTTCGGTATTGGTGCGAGAAACTTGAAGATGTTGGTCCATGTATTATCAATCAAGAGGATGATAGATTAATATGCCGTTGAAGAGCAATGCACTCCGTAAGAACAATTCCTTCTCGCTAGCATGAACCTGTCACCCAACCGAGCTACTTTCGCAGTAAAATAAAATCCGATCGCATTAGAGAAAGAGAAGAGTCGATAACAGTAGCTTTACAGGACAATGCACTTCTTCTTCTTCTCCTTCTTGGTCAAGAGTGCAGCACGTGTGGCATGTTCAAACACCTCACGGACACCCTCATTGGTCTTTGCTGAGCACTCAAGAGACTTGTAAGCACCAATCTTATCAGCAACACGTTGAGCCTGTTGATAGAATTGTTAGCATGATTCTTTCTTTAATCAACTTCGTTCTCGGTCATGCAGCTGTCTTCAAACTGCGCCGTATCTTGATGTATCCTTACCTGATCTTCTGAGACCGGGGTTTGGTTGGTCTTGTGTAATTCCTCGATGGTTTTTGGGTCGTGGCGCAAATCCTTCTTGCATCCAACGAGGATGATTGGGAGGCCCTGGCAGAAATGGAGGACTTCGGAGATCCACTGTTCAGGCACGTGTCAGTAATCGTCTTATCAAGGTAACAGCAGATGGAATCATCTATCGAATCGTACCTTCTCCTGAACGTTATCAAGGGAATCGGGAGAGTCAACGGCGAAACAGATCAAGATAACGTGCGAATCTGGGTATGATAGAGGTCTGAGACGATCGTAATCTTCTTGTCCAGCCGTATCCCATAGAGCCAACTCAACGTGCTTTCCATCGACCTCGACATCGGCGACATAGTTCTCAAAGACGGTTGGGACGTAGACCTATAGTAGAAGATGCATCAGTTATTGGATCTGATGATATAATGAGATTCCATCAACAGCTTCGATGCTCGCCAGTGTCAACAGATAGTTGACGCGATGGCCGCGTTGTATTTGATTCGCATATCATTCCAAGGAGTCGGTGTAAGGCTTACCTCTGGGAAGGTTCCCTTGGAGAAGACACTGGAAGATTTGTTAGTGGATATAACTTTTATTGATTTTATCAACTAGAGAGCCGTTGGAAGGTAGATGGGTACTTACATCAACAAGCAAGTCTTACCGCAAGCACCGTCTCCGACAATAACGAGCTTTCTTCTAATTTCCGCCATTTTGGCAAAGGTTGTGATAAGGTTTGTTAAAGAGAGCGACTGAGTGAAGTTGTTGATTAAATTGTTGTGAATGTAAACTGATCGTATGGGTCGTTGCAGATGAAAGTTCGTTAATTGGAAAGGTTGTTGAAGGTGGAAATGAGTTCAAGAAGGCAACCTCTGGAGAAACCTAATAGCTAGTCGGTTCCAATGTTATGGCCTTATGATTTGTGATTGCAATTATCAGGCAGCCAATATTCAATTTGGTTACTATGGGAATCATCCAGCATAAATAAAAAAAATCTGGGCTATGGGCAACTGGGCTGATGCGGTGAATCAATCCATCCATGAAGGGATTGGATTGGATGGGGAACAGCGTGAGGAATCTTTCAAAGAAACCGTGAATGCTTTACGATTCATCTGATTGGATACAATGTCACTCATTCTTTTCTTTTCATGATATCTACGATCCCGTACTAGAGTTCATCCAGAGTGAGTGATGGCCATCGACAGTATGTATTCTTGTTCGTCTATTGTATGTGGGAAGGAGGCAGTATTATTCCATTAGCTGTCTAGGTGGCTTGGGTGGGTAGACCAGGGAGGAATCTGTTTGATTCATTATCTACGGAGCATCTATTTTCACATCAAACCGTCGGACATAAGGGATACTTGTTATTACGGTAGGTAGATGCGATGCTACTACTGTCTGCTGTCTGCGAGGGGACCATCTATCATCTATCATCTATCATCTATCATCTCCGGCTATCAACACTAACTCTCCTCAATCATCACCCTAGCCATCAACTAAGGGGCTACCAAGGTTCATACATTAGTATCTGCTAGGTAAGGTGACATGCTGTACGGAGTATTCTCCACGTATTTTATGCACCCATCCCATACCATCCCATACCATCCCATACCATCCCATACCATACTATCATTCACTCCACCAACCTCACACCATGTCACCATGGGTAGGAAACAAAAAGATTGATGACAATGAACAAGGAAGTACCTAAGCCGTTCGACGGCTTGTTTACAATTCTGCCTTTACGAAAATACATTGATTCCTTTTATTCTTCTTTCTTATTCCTTTTGCCTGGTGTCTTTCTCTGTCTTTCTCAGCATCGGTGTACTATCTAAAATATATATGAAAAGGACTTTTAGTGATCCTTACATTTGATATTCATTTGAGCCACCACATCTACGAGTACTAAAACATTGTTCAACATGAAGGAATATGTACTTAAAAAAACATATATGTATATATACATACATTCATGCGCTAGCGACAACCTTCCACTGCAACTTTAAAATCAATACAGTATCGTTATTGAATGATAACTGTAAAGAGAGTGGTAAGCTCTGATATGTTTCCTTGGCAAAGTCCATATTTCCTTCCTTCCTTCTTTCTTTCTTTCTTTCATTCAATTCCTCTCCTGACTCCTGAGTCCTGACACCAGGCTTAAAAGTCTAGTCTAGACTTGACGGGATGAATGAAATGACTAGTATATAGTTTGGCTCGTACGCTTGAAAAACATGACTCTGATTACGGATGCTTCCTTCTACGCTTTCGATCAGGCGTATATACAGGCGTATCGTATCACCGCATACATAGACTGTATAGTATCTCACACACGGTATCACAACATGATTGACCTTCCAATTGTTAAGTGTTGAGTTATCGAAACTTCCCTTCCTTTGATGGAGATGAGCACGTCCCCAACTTCAGGAGATATCCGTCAACCTTGGAAGTTTACGCACTTCATATGGGGCTGAGCTCCTAGACAATCTACGCCTCACTCATTCATTCGCGCCTCATTTCCTTTCTACCAGGAAAGACAGGACTGCGAATGAGAGTCGCAAGATTGATGGATATTCCGATACCTTCTTCTCTCTGCTATGACATCTGTCTTCTCTCCACCCTCTTGATGTCATTTCAACATTTTGTGAATACGATCGAGGTCATCTTTTGAAAATCCATTGTCTGGGGAATGGATGGATTCAACACAACCTTGGAACACTCAAGATAATCAATGAAATCTGCCTCACGTGCCGAGTCCCTGAAACTTAAAGATAATGTTTTGATTGGATAGCCTCACTTGGCACATAAACACATGATCCATTAGCCCCTGAACCAATTAAAGTCCAATTCAAGCCCCGAGCTTCCCACGTGACCCTCACCCCGATCAATAATTCTACGCTAACCCAAAGATCACTAGCCTATTATCAACGAAAGCTCCATCCAAAAAAAGTTGAACTGAGCACCCTCACCACCACCAAACGAATCCCCCCTCCTCTCCCCCACCACCATGCAAAAAGTCATTCGGCGTACAATCCTCGCCGAAAAGCAAGCCTCCCGCCGGCTTGCAAGGAGGCAGCGCAAAAATGAGCTCGATGCTTTTGCCCTTCGGCAGGATAGGATGAAGCAATGGGGTGCGGAAAATCTAAGAAGGATCAAGGAAAATAAGGTGGTGCGAAGGGAGGATTGGGAATTGAACGAGTTGGCTCCAAAGAGAGATGTTGGCTCGCAGGCTGAGACGTATGGAGCCATTCAGGCTCATTTCAGTGAGGTTCCGGTTGCGAGGAGGAAAGAGATATTGGAGATATTGGATTTATGGGGAGGGAAGAAACATCTAAATATTACGGCGGGTGATAGAGTTGTTGTGATTTCAGGGCGGGACAAGGGAAAGATTGGGAAGGTAGAAAAAGTTGACAAACAGAGGGCGGAAGTTACATGCGATGGATTGAACATGGTATGATTTGTGATCTTTTGTGCCTTCGTCTCCAATCACCCCCCACCATGAATGTTTCATTGCCACAAACTAACAAAATTATCAGATCGATATAGCAGTACCAAAATGGATGTTATCAGACTCCGAGCAAGACCGTCGTCCCACCCGTTCCGTTCCTCAAGGCATTTCCCTGAAAAACGTCAAACTAGTATTTCCATACACAGACCCTGTGACCGGCCTGACGCGCGATGTCATTGCCAAAAAGCTTGCCCACCACAAGATTTTCCGAGACCGTCACGCCCAAACCGTCAAATGGCAGCGCATAATTCCCGGTGCCGGTGACCGTCCCAATATTATAATTCCATGGCCTAAAGTCGAACCTCGAGAAAAGAAGGATTACGATTGCGATACCCTGCGAATGGAAGTTGAAGAAAAGACATTCGTGCCCACGCTCATTACGCCACCGATGCCTGGAAGTGTGATTAACGAGTTGAGAAATAAATACTCCAAATTCAGAACGAGACACGATCCCGAATACCTAGAGAGAAAATTGGAGGAAGATAGACAAAACGAAGCAAAGAAGAAGACAATTGCATCAATGAGGACGCCATTGAAGGAAATTAATAAGAGAGAAAGAGAATTACGAAAAGCCAAGGGCAAGGGTAAACTTACCAGAGGCATGTTATTGAAGATTGGACAGGTAATCTCGAGGAGGAGAGGAACGATCATGAGACAGGTGGGTGTTAGCACGGATGGAAAGGCTGGAGCTACAGAAGCTGGAGAAGCCGAGAGCATTTCTACATCTACATCTACACCCACAGAGCCAGTGCCAGTGGCTGCTTGATGATCATGCATGTATATTATGTATTTGGAATGAAAGAAAAATGTAAAGATATGAATTGTATGGCACATGGACCTTTGAGGAATTCGTGGTGTTTGTAGTATGTACAACAAATCCCAGCGCACATCACTTCCATTATATTTCCACATGCACAAATAGATGCGTGGATAAACTGCGCATGTAAACTACGTCACGTCCACAACCTTCAAAAGCTCTGTTGAGTTTCCAACTAATACACTTCTGAGCGAGATTCCCGAAATACCACAACTTAATTTTCCTAAACTACCCAGAGGACCTAAACTAAGTACCCAACAACGTCAATTTTTCAAACGCAGAAAGATGAGGTGCCTCCTTCTTTCTCCCCGCCGCTTGCAAACTCTCCGCATAAACCGCATCACCACCTACTGGTCTGTATTCCTGACCTTCCGCGCCTGCCTGTTCATTTGCATTTCCATTTCCATTTCCATTTCCATTTCCATTCGCAGCCGCATCCGCCGTACCAAAAACCTCTCCCACACAGCCCTTACACAAAGCGACCACCTCTGCCATACTACCCTCAATCGCTCTCGCTCTCTCCCACATACCTCTTCTCACGAGGCCCACAACCAATCTCTCGACTTCACCTCTGGAATCCTCGACGCGCGTCATTAATCTGCCGACACTGGCGACGAGATATTCTTCTTCGTATACACTTCCCTTTTTACCTCGGGCTCTTTTGCGTTCTTCTCTGCGTCGGTTTTTAGATGTCGCTCTACTGACTCCCGTTCCAACGGTTCCGACACTTCCATTACCCGTGTAGCGAGTAAAAAGCGAGCGATTCGTCGAAACGCGAGAAGAAGCCGCGACGGAGATATCATCTGGGATTTCGCCATCGCCTCCTCTTTCGCCCTCGTAGAAAGCGAGTGGATCGGCGAGTGCTTTTTGTCTCAGTTCGCGGATACGGGGAACTTGGGCTAGGAGTTGTGCTTTGCAGTCTGCTAATAACTCGGTGCTTGAAGCGAGGGCATCACCGAGACCAGGGTCGATTACGCTCTCGAGGAGATCGGGTCGAGCTTTGAGTGCAATCAGGTGAAGGGCGTCGGCGAAGAAATATCCTTTGCAGAAGGTTCTGCAGGCGGTTTCGAGAGAGGAGAGGTAATCGAGTTGGGAGGGGTTGCTGCGGCGTAGTAATCTTTGCTTTCGATGAGGGCATCGTACAATGTGCTTGCTAACTCGGTGAGTGCGGAGCCGCTCATTGGTTTTCCATCTGCACCGCCGGTGAGAGCACAGAAAAGAGTTTCGCGCCATTGAGAAGGTCCGGAGGCGAGATAGCAAGATGTAGCTTTTGCGTAGTTGTGAAGGGATTCGTAAGCGAGTGCTGCTTCTTTGTAAGAGGATTTAGACTCGAGATGTTGAGCGTAGAGGGCGGTAATGACAGCGAGGGGTTCAGGATTATATCGGTATATAGCTAAAGCAGCTTTGTAGAGAGCGTGCTTCTGAGTATACTTTTGAAGTTCCTCAAAGGCGTTGAGTTCGTGGAGATGGTTAAGCGCTTTGGTGTGGCGAGATAAATAATCATCGATGCTATATTTACGACGTAACTCGGTCATTTGTTGTAGATTTTGCATGAAAGGAAGATATTCTCTGGGATCCTTCTGCGATTGCTGGGCGACTAGAAGAGCAAGATCGAGGTTATAGAGACCAAGAGCATTCTCATATAATCTATTGACATCCGCCAAGAAACAGATGTGCTCAACTGCTTTATCAGCCATAGCCTCATCTTCCTTCATCAACTGTGCAACAACCAATAAGCCATCATCCAATGCAGGTGGATTCTTGCACACATTAGATGTGATAATGTTCTGTAGGTTAGTTGCAGTGCGAGTTTTGAGGACTTCGAGAACAGCATCGCAGATTTTGTTAACTTTTGAAGCTTTGGTGGCTGTAATATCAACAGGATTTTGAGGAGCGATAGTACCATTTGTGGTAGGTAATACGTTGCCATTTTGGGAGACAACTCTTGTCTCTTTGTACATTGTTTGGGTAACATCCTCCTCTCTCAATGACGATAAGAACAAATCGATATAAGTGATTTTCTTGATCTGGTCAATAAAAAGTGCAACATTCGACAAGAACTGCTCTGGAGCATGATCATATAAAATGTTCATATCCACTCGTTGCGTTCTGCAATGAGTGAAAGCCTTTCTGTAGTTCTTTTCCTCGATAAGTTTTCGAATACCTGCAAGGACCATTGCACGAGGGAAAATAGTCTCCAAGTTTCCACGAGGCATTTGTAGGTTTAGACTGAGAGAGGTTGGCATTGCGGTGACAAGTCGAGCTCCTCTTTCAATGCTTCTACATCTCTCGTCAATTTCTGGGTCATCTGCCGGAACTTCAAGGTCTGTTTGATATTAGCATTGAAACAGTGCAGCAAGATTCAGAAATACGTACCATGGACTTCTGTGATGTGCACAAATTTTAGGAGGTGTGTGGTGGTAGTAAATATAAGATGTGCCGGTGTAACTAAGAATGATGTGCAGTTTCGGACAAGTAAGCGTGTGTTTGCAAACAAATGACCGTTACTAGACAACCCAAAAGCTATGCGGCCGTCTCCATAAGCATTTGGACCGTCACCGAATGGTATGATATCTACCCAAGGTAATTGCTTGGAGAAATTGCAAGAAGATAAGGACGCATCGCCGAAAGCTAAGCTATGAAGGTCACCAGAGCTAGTTTGGACGTATGGATGCATTACACCATCTTCAACAAAGCTTGATAATATCGATACAGATGATGTAGGGTAATTTTCAAGAGCCTTCTCTTTCATCTCCCCAGGCACCTCAGCGAGATGGTATCCTTGAACAACCGGGCCAGTTTCGGTTCGACCCAAGGCGAGTATTTCATTCTTGCCACTGAAAGTAATTTGTTGATAAATGGTAGATTTTATCGCAGAGTCAAATGTATATTGACCAGACAATGTCGGAGTAGGTGCGACCCGTTTGGTAGCATCTATTTCGAAAATTGAAATGCCATCTTGATGTAAAACGGCAAGTAATGAAGCATCAGCATTGATGGCAACATCGATGGCATTGGATTGTATTGTACTTCGTGATGACCCATAGGAGGTGGGACGTTAGCTACCCGGAAAGGAGTTACCATGAGATTTTGTCCATCAATAACTGCGAGCACTCCAAAATCGTTTGGTGGTGCCAAAGTACCACGCGCCGTTGTAAAAATATACTCTGCAAGATCAATAGTGTCCTCAGCAACGGACAAGAATCTCAGCGGCTTTTCTGGGTGCCAAGCGATAGGGTTAGTGGCAACCAAAGGGGCGTGATGGTTTCTAACCTCTTGCTTGAGGGACCAATGATAATTACCCATTGTCCATAATTGAGTGCATCAGCCATCACAACAGCCAACACCGTAGAGTCAGAATTCCAAGCCAATTTGATGTACTGATTAGGAAGTTGGCGTTGCTCTTGAGTGAGTCTGTAGACTGAATTCTCCATGTCGTAGTCCATTACGTCAAAAAACACTACAATCGATTCTTTTCTTCAGTCGTTGGATGCCGGCGATCAATTTCCGGAAGTCTCCAGCTCAAAGCGCCTTCGAGACCATCTACTGGCTCGCTGACACTATCAATTTCACCTTCTCTAGAATATACCTCGTATTATACGACGGGAAGCCGATTCAATAGTAGATATAGCAAGATAGGCTCCATCGCCTCTCCAGCTGATAGTGACACTCGAATCATCATTTTGACTTAGAACACCTTCATCAGTCTTCTCAGGCATAGTCGGATCTCGTAAAGCTTTGGCTCCTCTGCCTTGGAATTGCGTTTCCTTCTTACCCCAACCAACAGATACATGGTTCGAAGCTTTCAGGTCCTCTTTGGTCATGGTAGTATCCGCAACGCCATCGAAGCTGCGACTCATCCAGATGACGGTATCTTCCTTGGTTGTGATTGCCAACAATTCTTCATCAGGTGACCATCTTGCCGCAGTGATACCAGCATCAACTGAGCCCATGATTTCAATCTGACCTTCACCAGGTTGAGGATCTTCTCTAACGACAATGATGTCGCCCCCTGCAAGAACAAGACATGTTGTCAAGCTATCTCCAAAATGATGAAGACTTAAAACTTTGTCACAGGCCAAATCCGGATTTGGTGATGGCGCTTCCCATGATGTGATGAGAGTATCCTCACTGCGATTTCAAATCAGCAAACTTCAAAGACGCTCAATTAGAAAATTATATATACTGTGATTTCGAGGTTGTCTTGACTCTAATAAGTTGTATTACTGCGTCATTTTCGGTAGGACCAGCGGTACAAACGACAGCATCATTTGCCAGATCCCACGCCGCCGCCGTTATAGGTCTGTTCTGATATTGCGCAGGAGGCTTCCATTGCTCATATTGGATCCCTCTTAAATTTCTCATCTTCTCGATATTAATATATTTTATCAAAACATGTGAAAAATAAAAATTTATGCAAATAAATCTCCAGTCATCCTTTTTGTTCAGGCAATGATTCGTCGGAAAATCGTATCCCGGTCATTTTCACAAGCCAGTTTTTTTTTGTTTGGTGCATTCCCTCATACCGTGTAAGCGAGAAACGCTAAATCTTTAGTGTGTGACTTTCCCTGTAACCCCAGGTTTAATCAGAGGATTGGTGGTGAGACTTCTCTTCTCACTCTATCAACATTCCACTTCTCGGCCCATTTGATTCAATAGACATTCGATTCTTCTTCTACAGTTACCATCGCGTCATTGAGATACTTGTACATTGTAGACTTTATATTCTAATTCTCTCCGATAGATTTCTTGACCCTCTCAGATAGACCATAATGGATATCGCATTCAACAACACTCTCCCATAACCGACGTCACAATCGATCTTCATCCAATCTCACAAATCTTACCATGGCACCACTAACTACCAAACTTCCTCCCTCAAACGACGATTATTTTCCCGACCATACATCCTATATTGACAATCGCTCTTCTCCTACAACGCCTTCAATTCTCTCTCGCTCATATCCCGCGTTTTCCGTACGCAAACCCGCCCCTATGAATCTCCTCAATCCCCAAATCAAAATCAAGCATTCACCTCGCTCCTACTCCTCTCACACCCCGCGCACCAGGCCACCGCTCGGCACAACTACAACCCTCACGCCACTCGCATCTAAGAAACACGATAGCTCCAGATAATCTAAAGATCAGTACATTCGGTGAAGATAACCCTAATGATTCAGATTGGCTTCTGCGAGCCGGCGCCATGATATCATCCTCCACTCGAGAGTCCAAGGGCCAATTATGGCTCGTCTCACGCGCAAGTTCAACAAGTTTGCAGAAGGATGAGGATGAAGATGCATTTGAGCGGGAGCTCGCCAGAGAAAGAGAACATTATAGCAGAAGAGGAAGTAGACGAGGAAGTTTCGATGCGGATGATGAGTTCTCACCACTCACAACGAGACGAAGTTTAAGTTTTGGGCCTGCACACAATAGGCCAGCGAGTAGACATGGCAGTCGAGCAAATAGTAGAATAGGAAGCCGAGCGAATAGCAGGAGAGGGAGTAGAGCGGCGCTGATTACACCAATGACAGCAGATAAAGATGGAGGATACTTCGATACAGAATTCGCACATGAAGAATACCCTGCAGAGCCAGACTTTGTAGATGTGGAAGAAGAATGGCTTGAGGATGGTGACGAGGCAAGAAAAGACGAAGCAACGGTTAAGAAGTTGGCTAGAGCGAGCAGACTGGGACTTGGAGGCCTGGTAGAAAATTTACTAGGCTGGAGTTTGTTTGCTGTTGAAGAAGATGGAGAAGAAGCCGAATTCGACACATCAGATGAGAAAGGAGAAGAATCATCATTGTCATCACGACCGTCGCGACACACCCTCGATGGGATGAGTGACACACCAGTTACCGAGCAAATGCCACCACTTAATCCAAATGAAGCCGATGGATGGCATGATGCTGCTTGGCTTCTGAGCGTCGCAAGTAAGGTATTACTATGATGTCACATTGCTATATCCTTCAGCTTTTCTTTCTACGATTCTGTTCCTTCTTATAGTACAGCTTTCATTATGAATTATAATAAGAACTCTCGGCATGTTCCCCATATGCATCAATACAACTCGTATACATATGTGGTCGTGAAGATAAATATGCCACCCAAAGTTATAAAAGCGCCAAAATCGCTCCTGCCCAATGATCGATCAAATCCTTCCCAATACCACTTTGCGGAATTTTCTTTCGCCGGAATCCTTTCTCCCATGTTCATTCATGTGTAGCAGTTTCAGCTAAACAGTATTGCTTTTCCTCTCGCTTCGACCCGCTCGATTCAGTCGGTAGTCAGATCAATGATTTCATCTTCGGCTGTAAAGATGTGTCGTCTTTTAACAGGACGCTCAAGGATAACTTCGGGTTCATCTTCATCGCGTTCATCTACATGTTCGCGCTTCAGTGTCACCTCAGATCTGGCCTGTCCTTCGACCTCTGCCTGCACTTTATCAACGACTCGCGAGATCTCTTCTTGGACCTGCATAGGAAGTTAGTGTCACTGATAATACATCAGAGGTATCTGATGGCCCAATCTGGATTAAATCTTTGAATGATGGCACATACCTCGACTACGTTGACAACGTTAAAACCCTTTGCTATGTCTCTTAATTGACCTAAACTTCTTTGGATTTCCATCAGTACTCGTGTAAATGGGGTGGCACCAGGCTCCAAAGCTACTTGGCTGATAGGCTTAGGTGTAGCAGGTGTGACTGGAAGTGTTGAAGGTTCTTGATTGTTGTTTGGGCTGTCTACCGATTTTCCTCCTTGATTGTCGGTGCTTTTCTCAAACATTTCACCTGATGCGAAGGCCACAGCATTCGGTTTAAACATTGCTTCTGTTGGTGACTCTACTGGCATTGCAGGTCTAGCTTTCAAAACAAAACTAGGTGCTGCTACCTGTGAAATTGATCCAAAAGCAGGAACTGATGGATATCTGATCTCTTCTCTGGAAGCAGTTGGCTTTACTGGAAGCACGTTTGGGGATGGTGCAAATGCCAAGCCAGTCGTAATTTTGGGAACCATTTGACCGAATTTCTGTGCTGGTGGTGCTAATGAGGAGAAGGTACTGGTGGACAAATTGCTCGTTGCCTGATCAAGCGATCTGCCAGTAATAACTGACAGCGGGGGTAGTACTGGCATTGACAAGAAGGCACCAGTTACCGGATCGAAAGATCTTCCTGTGATCACTGACTTTGTGGCTGGTGGGGGTGGTGTGGCCATTTCGGATATAGCCTTATGCTTTGGAGCAGTCGATGCTTGGATTCCTTTAACAGCATCCTTGTTAAGAACACAAGGCCTTTTGCTTGTGCTTTCAATCAAGGCAGGTTGAACTGGTACCCCGGGTAAAGGCTTCGAAGGCAAAGGAGCTCGATTAACTTTTGGTGTCAATCCCTGGTCTTGAGGAAGTATCTTAATTCTACGGTCAGTTTTTCTTATCTAATAAAACATTTGACAATCCTTTGATAATTGGAGGTTGATTTTCAGAAAGCAGAAGACTAACAAGGCACTTACCATCATCTGCTGCAAAACTTCCCTTGATCTATATTTGAAATGGAACTCGGCCAGTGGCTTGCTAACTGGATCAATATATTCAAGCTGATAGAATGTCTCTTGGTCCGATATTTTTTGTGGTTTTCCAAGCCTGTTGTAATAGGTCAGCTTCCGCATTGAATTGTAGACTGTATCTTCTCATATACTTTGTTGTATGGGTTACAGCTCTGCCCTTTAACTGTTTTTCGTGAAACTTTGTGTTTATTGGCATCGTCTCCTGATCCGGTGTGGAGATCGGAGTATCCACCGGAACGACTTTACGGACACGCCAAACCTGGACTATGAGTTCTCCGAGCTGCGAGACTTCTCTTGGGTTGTGCGAGAAGGGGACGTCGTCTCCTACAGAATCAACATCAGCTATGTGTAAGATTGAATTGAAGATCGGTCTACCTATTTGAATCTCAGAAAACTGGAAGGGTCTCAATTTTGTGCTGCCGGGTTGTCTAAGGCGGTCTCCTGTCAAAGTATGATCCCAGATATTGGGTTTGAATCCATCCTCATTGCAAATTACAGTTGAACTGTTGAAATGCTCAGCTTAAGAACGATGCTTAACAAGATCTGATTTTTATAATTACCTCATCTTTTTCCATCAACTATAGCAAAAAATCCCAGGCAGTAATTTTTCTTCTTTTTATGCTTTGGGATCTTCGCAGGATCAACGAGGTATTGCAATCCAAAATTTGCACCCGATTTCGACTCGATATAAACGGACATCTTGTGTCGAGGGCCATTTTGCGTGTTCTCATCCTCATTGTCGTCAAGATCGGGATATTCTGCTGAAATCTTAGGAGCGTTAACTGTAACTCTGATAAATGGAACCCCAGGTAGAATCGCCATTTTTGCAGATATTGCTGGTGAATGGGAGGATTGCTAAGAAGGTTGTTGGTTGTATGTTGTGATTGATGGAAAGGAATTGCCTGGTGTAAATAAAAGAGTTACCCGACAGCGCAACTGCCATTTTTGGTTTTTTGGGCGGAATTGCAAGCGCATTATACCCTACTTTCCTCCAGTAATCGTGGTTTTGATAGCTTCATTCCAAACGCATCATCGTTATCTTTTTATTGTTCACGAAGTTTCATGTTATCTAGCCTATGATTATCTTGTACATCTTCACTATCAGATTCATTGCGGAGATGACAGGTCTTTGATCACCATGTGAGTGAAAAGTAGAGTTTGGTATGTTATAATTGTTACCCATATTTATCTTGGAATATCCCCTATGCTAATAATTGTCGATAACTCATCATATTCCACCATACACTGCTGGTAAAAGACCTTTGATACACCAAAAAAGATATTTGCTGGATGTAAGTACCTCAGGTCTCCCACTTCTTGAAAATAATGCCCTTTACTTTCCTCGGCGTCCTTCAATTCTCCTTAAGTGACTTGATAAATCCAATATCGTAAGCTGCCCTCAAATCATACTTCGGGCGTTCTTGACGTCGACGTCTTGCCATTGTATCAATATTTTTGATCTTCATCATTTCTTGCTTCAACCATCTACGTCTCTCCCAGAGTCTGCCCCATTGTAACTTTATATCTGCCATTTCAGTATCTGCATCGCTCTTCTTGTCCAGATTCAAGCATGCAATGCGGTATCTGAACCATTTGATTTGCTCTTGAGTGGTCGCGGAGGTGTATTCTTTCTTATATCTTCTGAACTGGAGCTTGAGCAGGGGTGCATTAACCATGTTCGTCATGGCGGGAATTGTTGTGTTGCTCGAGCGCAAATGCGATAGGTTCCAGATCTGTGGGTAGCTAGATGGCTTTTCGAGCTCGACACTAGTGGCCTGCGAAGTATCAGTCTGTGAGCCACTTGTGACCGACCAATCACTAGGATGGACGGCGCTAGATCGAGTATCCTCGGTTTCCAAAGTTTTCACTTGCGTGAGACTGATTGGTGAAGAGTTGGTCGGTGGGTTGTTAATGGGTGTCCAGCCACCAAATCGAGGAAGACCGATCTGGACAGGTTCAATCTGCGAAGTATGAACAGCGTGCCAGTTTCCGTCTTGAAGAATACTAGCTTGAGCTAAGATATCAACCTGAGCAACCTCAACCCCTGAGATACCCGATTGTGTAGTGTTGAGGGGTCTCCAAGCGATGATTAGGGGATTTGCTGCTTGAGTGGTTGCAGTGGTTGCTTTATTGACTTCGATTTCCGGAACTTCCTCCTCGATATCGGTATATTCTACATCTGCATCGTACTCGCTTTCTTGACCCATAATGTTGACTTGCTCATCATGGGAATCGAGGCTGATAAGGCCACGGGAGACCGATCTGCAAGGCAAGACGAATGTGTAAGCCATGAGGAACAAAGACTGTATCTCGCTGTCAGTTCGACCCGGTACGAAGCATTGTAGCCAAAGATTGCAGCAGATATAACTTACTGAATGATTGTTGCTGCTATTGTCTTTGGAGATACATTTCTATTGTAGGCCTTGAGGAAGAAGAAGGTCAAGTCTTTGGTTTCAGCTTTGAGGCTTCAAACTATCCACATTACTTTTCATGCCATTGAGCTTTTCATTTGGGCATGATGGAGTGAATTCACTTTCAAAATTTTCCTTTAATTTTAAGTTTGGGAGGGGTAAGAGATAGTGAATATCTGAACTAACTTTATCACCAGATCTTCTTTCAACCTGAAACTTCGGAACTTCGACACTTCGAAGTCCCGAGGTCTATATTGGTCTGTCTCATAGACTCTGATCTGACAAAAACCTCGAAAGCCCTTCAAAGCATATTGTCTTTTTGTCTGCAGGATCATATCCTTTCATCAGGATTGTACTACAAAGATCGCATTCCACAACTATTCTGTCTGTTTCTAAAGCTCACCAAAGTTGGTGGATTGAATGAAATACTCAGATCTGAGCCCAGGAAGTCAAGCTTTCATCCAAGGAACACCTCGAACTTACGCGCGAGATTTCCATTTATTCTCATGTTACCTTTCCTTCATGTATTCTCTCACTATTTCCTTTACATCTCGTTGTAAACTCGGAAATACTGTTCGAGCAGGCAACTCTCAAGTCAAGAAAAGCTCCATCGGCATGCTAGTTTCGAGTTTTAAGTAGATGTCAAGCATTGGAAAGACCTCACTAAAGATATCCATCGAGTTTTGCGGTGTCAAAACGATTTTATTGGTAATCACAACTACCGGCAAGTAGTCAGATAGCTACAAGCTGCAAGTTGAAAATATCATCCGCCCAAAATGTCTTGTGTCTCATTCTATCCAAGCACTTCGTCCTATTTTCCGCAAACGAAAATCGTTGCCGTATGTTCTTCCACTCATCTCAAACCTTTGGCCCATTATCTCACCTCAATTTTACAAGGCTACAGGAGGTTTGTGCTATTCATTAACAATGTTTTCCATCGAAAAAAACCAATAACCAACCTCAGGTCGCTGGCCTAACTTTGCACATATTCTTTTATATTCAAGCACAACCGACACTTGTTGCTTCTTTAACCACTCTTTACTCTTCACTACCCTTCTTTCCCCGTCGGTACCCAGGAAGAACTTATCAAAATACCTTCAGATCGATACAATTCAATCTGCATAGACATAGCTTACTAGTATAGCTGCTCCTAAGGTCTGAGTTTGTAGGAATGGGAGAATTCGAGATGTCTTCGGAGCCTGCGTGCTATTGCTTTGTCGGGTTAGTATCGTACCAACTGGATCTTTCGACTATGGATTTACCAAGTTGGAATTCGATGGAGATGACTTGAGGGAGCGGTTGGTCTGATTCGTGGTATTGGTGCCGTCAAAGACTATTTGCATTAGATTGTTCTGATGTGCGACAGTTTTGATGAAATAGTACTTATAGACCGAATGAATGTTGCTGATGATATTGATAAAAATTGGACGGTCATAAAGTGAGATGTCGCAGACGGTCTCGGCAAGTCGGCAATTTGGAGTTAGTGAATAATGAAGATGAGATGAATCAGACGAGAGGGATAGTGGGAGAAAAGAGTCATTGTTTGGGCTGAATTTGAGGTTTGGGAGGACTTGGAATGATTTTCTGGGCTCGTGGGAGAAAGCGAATGGGAAGGAATAGGTTCGGTGATAGCTGCTTTTGCGAGTATTGAGATGGTTGAGGAAAAACGTGGGGGTAGTTCGTTTTTGGGAATTAGCTAGATATATTCTAGATTCTTGTAGCTCAGTAGAGCGTCAGATCGTTTTAGTTGAGTGATTTAACCGAACAATGAGTATTTTCTAATAGACTACCAAGAATTTAGGTTCTCTTGCCCTTTCTGATGTTGTGGAATTAAAAAATAATCTGATTAGCTTAGGACATTGGGCCAGCTTCATCTGCTCCATCTAGCACCACTTCTCCTAACTAATCTCTTCGCTATCAAGGTACATGCATAAAGAACATCCTTTTCTCTTTCAGTCCATTTTCTCATCGAATACCTCTTGATCTCCTTTCGCTTATTCAACTTGTTGTTACACTAGCTCAAGATGAGAATCATAAGAAAGGGTGCGCCTCTCTATGTGACGATAGTGATACCCACTGATATCTCAGCTGATTGGGTGGACAAGACTAGGAATACAGCATTGCAGACAAATCATCTCTGATGATAAATGATGTAGATACATTAAATTGCTCTCGATAATTTCCAACAATCAGGACTTCGGCTCTTCCGAAACCCTCACTTGAGTGATTTGACCCTTCAACCTCTGCACTTCCTCCGCGATCTGTTCCCTAAGTCTCTGCTCAATTGTAACCGGATTTTTCTTCCACGTCCCTATCGTTACTATGATGCAAACACTCGCAACTATACTATCATATCCTCGCTAAAAGAATCTGAGTAAGCTTGTCCCACTGCATGGAGTTGCGCATATGTCATTGTCTTTGCCGAAGACTCTAATGAAGCAAGTTGTTCCGGACTCACGATGCCATTTAATTGTGTTTGTTGTGCTAAACTGAGAATAGCGGTACTGGCTGCTATTCCTATGCTGCCGCCTAGAATACGTGCTTGCGATGTGATGCCTTGTACGACCGCGTGGTCGCGGATGGATGATTCGTAGTTTGACTTTAGTGTCGTTAGCTAAAGACAACATAGTGAGAAATATTTCAGTAGGAGTACTTACTAGCATCGATACTGTAGATACTGTCAATCCAAACCCTAGCCCAACAAATACTAAAAAGCCATAGGTCTTAGCTTCCACGTATTCAGTATTCGCTAATGTAGATAGCGAACTAGTGCCTATAACACTCAGTCCAGATCCCACGAGTAGAGTCAAAAATACTCTGTTTTTCGTTCCATTAAGCATTCCACCGAGAAAACTCGCTATAGCTGTTGATCTTAACATAGATAATAGTCCCAGTCCTGCGGTTAACGGACTCTTCCCATTCACAACTTGGAATTGTAGCGGCAAGCTATAAATTACCACAAAGTAAGGAAATCCCATGAGTAAAGTCGTGGACAAACCGAACATGTAGACTCTGTTCTTGATGAGTCTCCATGGGAACATCGTTGCGAGCTTTTCTTCCCATTTTCTCTGCACTATGAATTCCCAAGCGAATAGTAAGATCCAAAAGACTATTCCCACTATTACGGGTATCAGGAATAGTGGTTTATTCCAAGAATTTGTCTTGAGACCTGCTTCTTGGAATGCAAAGACGAAAAGGATAGAAGCTATGATCAAAATACATGCCCCGACAAGATCAAGTTGCCGAAGAGGTCTACGTTTGGATTGATGAAGTTGATTTTCATTTGGCCAGACGAGATAGAATAATATTAAAGGCACGATTCCGATTGGTGCACTGTGTATTTGTTAGCTTTGGCTCTTCTAATAGGTCGGTTTATTTACTCTATCCAAAATATCCATCTCCAACTTGTGTACTGGGTAATGATACCTCCGATGACCGGACCAAGCACTCCGCTCATTGCAACCACTGCGCCAGCCAAACTTCCAATCCATCTCCTCATTCCCGGGGGACTGATTTCAGGGAAGATGACCATTGTCAGAGAATAAAGACCCGAACCGCCTATGCCTTGCAAAGCTCCGAATGCAATAAGTTGGTTGAGTGTTTGCGCAAACCCGCATGCAATTGAGAATGCGAAGAATATAATGAATGCTGCAATATATGCATTCTTTCGACCAGCAATATCACCAATTCGTGCGAATAAAACAGCACAGCCCAAATAGGATAGGGTATATGCGAGAGCTATCCATGAAACAGAGTTGAGAGAATTGAATTCAACACCAATGGTGTAAAGAGCTGTTGCTACGATACTGGTATCGAGCAGCGCAAGGAAAAGACCGGAACATAGACTTTACAATGTTAACGTAGTTCTAAAAGTCTAAGGGAGATCGGAAAATCACCTGATACATAGACAGACGAGCCTCTATTTGGGGATGTTAGGACCATTTCCTCGCGCGTTGGGTTTAGGTTCGGAAATGGGTTCATCGGAGGCTGAAGACTCTAGTTTGGGGGTATTTTTATTCATGGCTCTCGAGGCAAGTGGAGTTAAACATGATTAAACTAGTCGTTGACGTTTCGTATCATGCATCTGAAGTGGCCATCTTATATAGCATTTGATTATCTGGTGATTTGAAGCAAAAAAGGTTGGTGAGAATGAATCCGTGGGTGAGATTAAATCCGCACGCCAGTCTAGTAACCGGAGAGATATTCCAACCGTTTCAGCCTCAACATAGGTGAGAAGGTTCTGAAAAGACAATTGATGGATGAAATAAGTTGGTGTTGAACGAATTCATGGACGGACAGCAGATGTTGTTCGGCCGTAAGCGCCAAGCGTCCAGGGATGCGGACGATACGGGCGTAAGCATTGAAGCATCTCGCAGTTTCTTTCCTATTGAGCTTCACTTGGACAGCGACGGCATTCCATGACGCATCTTTAAGGATTTTTGATGGCATAAAAATTTGGATTTCATGTTCATGCAACGTTCAAAGCCGGAGCAGAATGCACTAGGGTATCTGGACGCCAACAGGCAGATGACTGTTGATTCTTTTGATATCTCACGTGCGAGCTTATGGAAAACGTATACAAGCAGTCGCTCTCCAGTATATTGAAATGATTCTAAGCAAAAGGTCTAGAGCTCCTTCATACTGAGGGCAGGAAGATGCACGTCTTCAGGCCAAGATTCAATCTACCGGGTTCCACGACAAGAATTCTAACTCCCAAATCTCTAGTAGATGTCCAAAATGCTACAATGAATTGTAGCCGAAGGTAATTGCTCGTCTGTCCATCACTCAACTACCCATTTTACTATGCACATCAATATCATCATGATTGAGCAGAAGAGACTAGTACTAGTATGGCCTCAAAGAGGTGGAAAGCTGGGGGCTTCAGCAATGTTTGACTGAGATTTACTGATGGAATCCGACGAAGACCAACAAAAGCAGTTGAAGAATTAAGAACCGCCGCATAGTACAATCACACTCTTGTACATCACTTGATACTCGAGCCAGCATCAGGTGCCGATTTGTCAATCGATTTAACCGTTTGTAGGTGCGATCATATACATGTTGGGGTGTGGGAATAGCTTGTCATGCGAGCTCGGCTTCTTTCACAACATTGTGCCCGCGGTGTGCGGTTAGTTGGTGAAGATCTGCACACGGAGGACGACTAGCCGGTTATTAATATCCAATCAGAGGTTTAGGTAAATGTACGAAGCCAATATTCAAAGAAATCCAAAGTGGCTCAGAGTGGGAAAGTGCTCGATGAAATCTGGGGCTTGCATGGTGTGATTACTCCGCGTTACAATTCGATTCTGACTCTTACCCTTGTACGCTACCACCCCGTTGCTGCTTTGCGGCCTCATGAGCTCTTGCTGTGATGGGTCAAACTAAACCCTAATGCAACGTCCAATTCGAACTACTTGTTGAGATCGGCCTGTCTTTTCGCCGTTTTGAAGGCTTACACACCAACTTTAACCTTACCAGAGATTGATTGCCTGATATTGGCCACCCAACCGCAGATCTTCACAATTTTGATATCAGAACATTGAATTTCACCTGCCACATCTTTACCATATCCCTCCCAAACAGGAATCCAGACGGGGCTCTTGGCTTGCAACGTCCAATAGCATCCCAAGAACTGAATTCACTATTCCACAGCATGAGTGAAGCTTTACACAACAGACGTCAGGCGTGCACTAATTTAGCCTAGGATTTCCGATAGCAAGAACGATTCATAAGTACTTAGTGAGGCCTGCTTCTCAGGTTTCAGCAATCTTGATGAGGTACCAGAGATTACCGACCAGCGAAGAAGCTGAAATGGCGAACGAGACTCTTAATAACGACCCTGCTCCCTCAAATGAAAACGATGGTGAACCTGATGTCAAAGACGGAAATGTCAACAATGATTACACACAACGGTCGGAAGTTGAGAGTCTAAATTTGACTGCGATACCACCTGGAACAATCGATCCAATATATGAAGCAAAAGCTCGAGTCTTAAATGAAGCTGTAAGATTGGAAATCTTACCACTTCCAGGTGGCTCTGCTCAAACGTGATGTTCGCTAATCATGTGATGTTACTCAGATTCAAGATATTGGCATGGGATGGTATCAATGGCAACTATTTGTTGTGGTAGGATTTGGCTGGGCGAATGATAACTTGTGGCCAATTGTTACATCACTTATATGTATATGCTCGATCTCGATTTGTCTTTTTATCTAGTCAGAAAGCTAACAATGAACATAGTCACGTCGATTACCAATGAATTCTCGCCCAAGCACCCGCCTCTACTCACTTTAGCTCAGAATATTGGTCTTCTGGCTGGTGCTATGTTTTGGGGTTTTGGTTGCGACATTTTCGGTCGACGTTTAGCTTTTAATGCTACGCTTGGTATCACCGCTGTTTTTGGATTGATTGCTGCCGGTTCACCAAATTTTGCCGCTATTGGATGTTTTGCTGCTCTGTGGAGTTTTGGTGTGGGCGGGAATCTTCCCGTCGATTCAGCAGTTTTCCTCGAGTTTCTTCCTGGTTCTCATCAATATCTTCTTACTGTTCTTTCAGTCGATTGGGCCGTAGCTCAAGTTATCGCGAATTTAATTGCTTGGCCTCTCTTGGGAAACCTCACGTGCCAAGAAGGTTCAACATGCACTCGATCACAGAATATGGGATGGAGATATTTTCTTATCGTTATGGGAGGCATCTCTATGATTGAGTTCTTCATTCGTTTCACGTGTTTTACGATATTCGAAAGTCCGAAATATTTGATGGGAAAAGGAAGAGATGAAGATGCAGTTAAGGTTGTGCAGGAAGTTGCGAGGAGAAATGGGAAACAGTCAAATTGTAGGTATACCCCATTCATTTCTCCCTATTCTGAACCATTCTAAACTTATATTAGTGACTGTCACCCGTCTCCAAGATTGCGGCACCCTTCCTCATATCAACGCCTCGGCAACCTTGTCAAGAAAACTCCATCAAATGGACTTATCTCATGTTCGTGCCTTATTTGCGACAAGGAAGCTGGCCTTCTCTACAGGTTTGATTATGCTCGTGTGGGCATTTATTGGTCTTGGATATCCACTCTATAACGCATTTCTTCCGTATATCCAAGCCACTCGAGGTGCTGAATTTGGAGATGGAAGTACATATTTGACGTATCGCAACTCTTTGATTATATCAGTGCTTGGGATTCCTGGAGCTCTTATTGGTGGTTACCTTATTGAGGTACCAAGTTTGGGTAGAAAAGGAACTCTCGCTCTTAGTACAACAGCGACTGGAGTATTCTTATACGCTTCCACCACAGCCATGACGTCTACTGCATTATTGGGTTGGAATTGTGCTTTTAACTTTTGTTCCAATGTGATGTATGCTGTTTTGTACGCATACACACCGGAAATATTTCCTACGAAAGATCGCGGTACGGGCAATGCTCTTACCGCGACTTCGAACAGAATATTCGGCATTATGGCTGTAAGTTTTCCCTCGTTGATTAATTTAGATTACAGGAAGGTTGAGAATTCCCTATGAATATTGACTAATCTTTCTGAAGCCGATTATTGCAATGTTCGCCAATCTCGAGACTTCAGCGCCAGTTTATACAAGCGGGGCTCTTTTTATTGCAGCAGGACTGTTGGTGTTGATATTGCCATATGAAAGTCGGGGAAAGGCCAGCTTATAAACCGGAATATGAAGCCCGTATTCATATGGCATTTCTACCTTTTAATCCTGCAGAACAACAAAATTCATATTAGTAATCAGTATTGATCAACAATTCGGGTCTTGGAAAAAAGAAGCTCGGCTCATTGTCGAAACTTCTTGAGAATTATAATTTGACATTACCCTCATTCTAATCTTGTCTAGTGAATACAGGTATAGTGTCAATAGAACAAGCGACTTCAATCTCATGCCCTCCCTCCCAAGATTTATCTGTCTCTTGACCAACCAGAGACCAAGATGTTCCCGCTGGAAGATAAACCTTGATATCCTTTGCCCCAGCCTCAAACACAGGACAAACCAAATACTTTGGCCCAAACATATATTGTTCCTCGATTTCCCAGCATTTCTTATCCTCCGGGAACTCATAAAATAGAGTTCTCATAACTGGACTTCCCTTTTTACTAGCCTCTTTCATCAACTCCCTAGTATAATCCCTCATCTCTTCTCGAATCATCATGTATTTCTTACAAATTCCATAAACCTCTTCCCCATAAGACCAAACCTCATTATCCGCACCACTCAAACAAGTCGATCCACCTCCCTCTCCCACCTGTGGCTGTTTAGGTTCCCGATCCCCATGTAATCTCATAACTGGACAGAAAGTCCCCCATTGAAACCACCTCACAAACAATTCCCTAAAAGCCGGATCAGTTGGATCTCCTCCATGAAAACCCCCAATATCAGTCGTCCACCATGGGATTCCCGCAAGTCCCATATTTAATCCAGCAGTAAGCTGATTGCGGAATGAAGACCACGAGGAAGCTATGTCGCCGCTCCAGACCAGCGCGCCGTATTTTTGGGACCCGGCCCATGCGCAGCGGAGAAGATTCACGATGTTGGTTTGCCCCGAGGCGGACATGCCCTCGTAGAAGGCCCGGGCGTATTCGACGGGGTAGGTGTTGCCGATTGAGAGGTTGGTGCCTCGATGGTAGCGATAGTTGTCGAAATCGTAGGCTGTATATTCGGGTTCTGGGCGGCAGGTCAGTTATTGATATCTACCTACCTAGGTAGATTATTAAATTCTACAGACGCATAGTATCAAACTGGATGAGATGAGATGATGAAAAGTACTAACCCGCTTCATCTAACCAAAAAACTTTAATTCCCTTCTCATAATAATTCTTCTTCGCTTGTTCCCATATAAATTTCCTCGCCCCCGGATTCGTTGCATCGAAATGAATCGTATCGCCTTCAAAATCCATCACAATCCTAATGCCCCGATCGGTCCTTACCAAATAACCTTTCTCCAGCATCTCTTCGAAATTCTCCGACCGCGTATCCACCGTCGGCCAGATCGACACCATAAGTTCAATCCCCATCTCCTTCAATTCCCCAATCATCGCATCCGGATCCGGCCAAAAGTTCTCATCAAATCTCCAATCTCCCTGACGCGGCCAGTGAAAGAAATCAATCACGATAAGATCAATCGGTAACTCTCTCTTCTTGTATTCACGCGCTACTTGCAAGAGTTCTTCCTGCGTCTGATAGCGCAATTTGCATTGCCAGAACCCCAGTCCGTATTCGGGCATCATGGGAACCTTTCCCGTGACGTCTGAATAGCGATGTACGATTTCCGCCGGGGAAGCACCAGCCACAACCCAATAATCGAGAAAAGAAGTAGAATACGCTTCGAAGCTCATGATATTTTTTCCAAACACCGCGCGTCCGATTGCGGGATTGTTCCAGAGGAATCCGTAGCCAAGAGAGGAGATGGCAAAGGGGACGCTGGCTTGGGAATTTCGATGCGCGAGCTCGAGATCCAGACCCTTGAGATCGAGATACGGTTGTTGGTATTGTCCCATGCCGAATATCTTTTCGTGCTTGTCCTGCGATTCGAAGCGTTGGGTTAGATGATGCGTTGAGCTGCCGCCGGGATTGGGTTTGAATTCCCGGGCTTCGACATTTATGGCGGAACATTTGGGGTCGGTGACGTCGAGACGATGACGTGCGTATTCCTCTAGGAGAATTTTGCCCTCGCCGTTGTAGATGATTATCTTCCCCCGAGAGGAAACTGTTGCACGGATGGATCCATTAGTGATTGATGCTGATTTGTCTTCGATTTTGATAGTTGGTATTGGAGAGTCGATTTCTTGGAGCGCCCAGAGTTCAGAGGGATCGGGATATTGAGATTCTTTGGTAGAACGTATTCGGAATGCATTTGGTCCCCAGGAATCAATCCAGAGTTCTTCGGCATCGTAGCGATATATTAGACGGTTGCCTTCGGAGTAGAGCATTGTTCCTGAGTATCGATATAGACTTTCTTTGAAATTGAAGGAAGAAAGCGCATACAACGATAGCTGAGCTCCTTTTAAGCTTAATCACTTTGCTTCCTGGATTGATGGTAAAAACATTCCTTCCTTTCCATTGGGCATGAATCGATGAAAATCATGACTCGACAACATTTATTGGCTGATGGGAAATTTACAGATGCTGTGTTGTACCATTGCGGGGTCGTGGAATCACAACCCCGCATCATATGTAGAAGCGCACCAAACAAGTCTATTCGACAAGCACACGCTGCAGATTCGAGATGTGGGACTTGCTTTGAATAGAATCGATCATCATCAAGACACAAAAAAATACAAGGTGTATTTTGATATTCTCCATTTGATGCAGTAGATACAAGCAATGGCTAAATACAATCAGGCACCGGAAAAGCTTCCCTTTCTATGATCCCTGCCTCGCTCGACTAAGAAATATGAAAATCTAATCATAATGTTCGATGTTCAAGTGTTTCGAAAACAAGCAAATATTGTCTAACCCCTCAAGATGCTCTTCAAAACAAGCAACAACTTCTCCTCCGGTCCATCAACCATTTGCATAGCTCTCCAAGCTACAAATCTATCCGGCCTGACCAACACACAGCCACTCTCCCCGATTTCTCTGCGTCTCGCCCAATCAAAATACACGTCCTCATAATCTTGTTTCCAACCGATGGAATATACATTAATCTCAATTCCAAGAACCTCTGCGGCCTTCGCAGCAGCAGCTCTCCATCTTTCTCCTCCAATTCCAGTGAAAAGAGAAAATTTTCCATGTCCAGCTAGATCGATAGTCGAAAACTGTTTTCCTGGAAGTCTGGTATTCAGCCACGCATGAGGGAAACGGCTTCCAGGATAAGTCGTAATCTCATGCTCAAGAACCGGGTCTGCCGGTAATGCTGGTCTTGGTTTCTCATCCGCGAGGTAAATCGCAGAAGATTCGTAACGTTCATTCATTTCAATACCAACGCCATGAAACTCGCGTGCCGTTCCTTCAATCGCCGCTTGAAAGCGTGCTCGCCGAGCTGCCCCTTCAGGTGTCACCTGCGAGAGTTCTGCAAAAAGTTTTCGTCGCATTTCAATGGATGGCTCCATCATTCCTAAAGCTTCCCATACTGGACCGTGGTCTCTAAGTCCTTGATTGGCTCGTGTGATGATGGATTGACCAACTGGTTGGCGTTCTGGGCTAAATGAATCGAGAAGACTGCTTTCCGCTTTTCCCTTCAGGACATAGGCGATCTTCCAGGCGAGATTATATGCATCTTGAATACATGTGTTGGATCCTAGGCCATTGGTTGGTGGATGGCGGTGGACTGCATCGCCGAGGCAAAATCTTATTAAAGTAAGCGAGGGAATTCTTTTGATAAGGGGGCTCGGGTACATACATATTCCCATCAGAGTAGTATTCTGCAACAGTTTCATTGATCGTCCATTTGGAGACTCCAAGTATTTCTGCAGGAATTGAATCATCTCCGATCATATCCTTGACGCATCTTAAGTACTCCTCGTCTGAAGGATTAAAGTTCGTTTCGGAACCAGGAGATGGAATAAGAATGAACATCCACCTGGAAAGTCAGCATCTTTCTATTCAGACTTCATAAAGGACTTACTCATTCCATGGCTTCACCATTCTTATCAAGCCATTCCAACCAAAAGTGGCATCTTTGTCTTCAGGTCTTATGACCCAATGTAAGTTTCCCATTTTATTTTCCATGACATGTCTCAATTCGGCCTTGACTAATATATTGATAGCCAACCCTTGTTGAGGTTTCTTGATCAATGGGATCTGTAATTGCCTCAAGACTTGACTTCGAGCTCCATCACATCCAAATAAGTACTTTGATCGAACGTGATATATTTGTTTCGTCAAATTATCTTGCAGTTTGCTGGTAATTACCCCCGAGGTTGAGTCTCGCTCAAAAGACAAAAACGAGGTATCAAATCGACAATTAAATCCACTATGAGTAGCCCGATTGATCAAAATCGGCTCGAGAACCGTCTGAGGAATATCGACATGATTGCATGGACTAGCAGCATCATAATCACCCTGTGAGAATTGTTAGTCACCAGAATGCTATCATCACCTGCTTGTCGACCTACGGCACGTTTTGGATCATTTCCCCAAGAGTAAATCCTCGCATACTCCTCGCCAGCCAAAGAACGACACCATCGTGTATGCAACATTGAATCACCCTTGACAGCCACTTGCAAACACTCCTCTTCCAAACCTATATCGCGCAGACATTCCATTGCGGCCATGTTGGTTATGTGAGCTCGCGGGGTATCGGCTGTACCGGGAGTGCCCGCGATAAGCATTCCTCGTAGGCCTACGAACGTCAGTATCATTATTCATTTTCTCTTTGCCCGTGATTTCTTCCGCAGTCATCTGATCATAAAAGACAGTCTTTTGGAGGGCTCAATAAAGGTCACGTGCCGAGGCACTGAGAAATCCGCATCGACTCACCATGATGTCCCAGAAAACAAGCCAAAGCCGCCCCAGAAGGTCCGGCCCCAACAATCAACAAGTCGGTCTCAATAACTGCTTCCGTAACCGTGGCGGCTTCATTCTCAGTATTCCCCTTATCATCTGTATAAGGCCAAGTTGTGGAAGGCGACATGTTGAAGTAAATGCTATGATAATGCGATGAATTGAAGAAGATGTTTTGATCTTTGCAGTGTGGGTTGTGGCTTAATTTTATATCAACGATCCCCGGTCCATTTTGTGTTCAAAGATAGTATCAGAGAACGCTCATGATGATATTGACATCCCGCCGTTTCAATTGGAAGCTTTGATTGGTCTCGTCAACTTCTAGTTCTGTGTTGTCCACATGAAGTGCCGAATTAATGCTGTGCGCCCCGCATTTGTCATTGTTAGATGAGCATTGATAAGTCTTTAGAATAGATTTTTATAATATCCATATAATTAAATTCTATCGTTTAAAGTTTTCAAAAAACTATATTGCTAAATAAAGAAAGTTTATGAATATACCTATGTAAACAAACTTTATATGTAAAAAGGGGTAGCTCATATCATGATACAGCGTACATGCTGATGAATCACGTTGTAGAGGTATTGATGTTTTTGCTCGATACACGGACCACATCGGCGCCCACAACTGGCACCCTCGGTAAGGTTACCTTAGTGGGTGTGATAATATGGGCTACATGCTGATAAATCACGTTAGGTAAGCTTATGAAAACTCTATCATGACTTCATATGATGTTTGAAAGCAATTCAGTGTGTAGCTGGGTGAGTACAAATACAGAGGCAAGAACCAAGTAAAAAGGGAGAACATCATCAAGACATCGATCTTAACATACCATCCTACTCATCGCAGCTCTTTTAATAACACTTCCCCATAAACTGATCCATTTCACCTCACTCATAACTGTACAAGTTCGACCACCTCCATCGTCAACTAGACGACCTCCACTGCGTAAGGAAAGACCACTTTGACAACCTCGGATTTATGTGTGAGGAAAAACAATACCGGCCATGAGATGAGCCAAAAGAATGTTGGGTAGAACACCCACCCGATCCAGGTCGTAATACGCCATTCATTTATTTTGCCAGGTGAATGAATAGACTGTAAGTCGCTTATGGGCGGAAAGGAAATCAATTTCGACATGCCCTCGATAGTTTGTCTCGACAAGAGTAGATCGGGGATGTGGCTCTAACTTCCTGGTATCGTGATTTATGACCTCTCGTTTAAGCATGAAAGATTACACGCCGGCAGGATTTGAAACATAAGCTTCACACCAAGCTTTGAGATCATCAGTCTGGCTTTCTTCATCTGCGTTTACTATCGGCTCGGAACTTGGGATCCTGCCACCTCCATAACCTCTGATACTGTTAGGCAAACACTCAATTTCTCTGTTCGAACCAACACCGCGAGCGAGGAGATGAGTGATGTTAATCCGATTCAAAAGGTCGGTGATTTTGCTTTTGGTCCCCTTGTTTGACGCTTCGTTCATTGTACCAACCAGTGATGTTCACATGATTTCCTGGTGGTCACTTAACTTGCTCTCGGATCATATCATATAAAGTAGTTGCATTTGTGGAGAAGTCTGGAAGACAGGCTCGGGATTCGCTGCCATCAAGGTCATGGGGTGAGAAAGGAAGATCGGGAGGAGGACTGAAAAGCATTAGATATAATTATGCATCTCTCAAAACAGAGAACAAAAAGGGAGTTGTACCAGTACCATACTCCTCGAGTTGGATGGGTAGGTACAGAGCTCGCGGATGGTGTTGAAGTAGGTTCGTCGGTATATGAATAAGCAGGAGATAGTTCATCTCAATCCTCATACCCATCACTGGTATGTAATGAGACTGCAGAGGAAGTTGAGGCATCATTGAGAGCTGGATTATCTCTGTACATCATAGGTGGGGGGAGAATTGTTGCTTTGCCAATTTTTAAACTTCTTTATTCGGTGAGCTATCAAGTTTAATTCTGGGGAGAACGATGATAGCGAGATTAGGATTTTATACTAGAAGATTGATGATAGATCAAGTCAGATAGTTTGTAGGCAGTCGAGGATGTCTGAAATGGACTCTATCTTGTGGAGAGACTCTCCAATAGGACAATCTTTATCTGTGTAGATACGGCGCAGCGTGATCATAATCCATGGAAAGCAATTCGTCTATTTTGTCGAGAATTTTTGACGATGTTAATCTCCATTAATGTCATTGGAAGATAGAAGAATAACTTCACAGCTTGGGCATCTCAAGACATAGTACTTTGAAGATACCAAAAATACCTAGGATGGCTGCCCATTCATCATTGGCACATAAGCCAAGCTTGCCGGCATGCGTTCGAGTGTTTATTTTAGACTTGCATAAATGATTTCATATAGACGTGAGGAGCACCTACTTATCGCTGGGTGTCTAGGTATTGATAAGGCAAGGGCCACCGATCGAAGATAAAATAGGATAGGTAGGAAACTAATCAACATCGCAAACCTTAAAGTTTAAGCTTATTACTCCGTATTTGTGGGGAGTAGCTGTGGGGGAATCAACGCCTAACGTCTCACGAAATCAATTGTATGTTTTTGAATTACACCAATTCCCATGCGATATCATCTGAAAAACATCAAGTAAATATTAAACAGACATTTACAGTGGTTGGGTTGTAAGACACATAAGGCCACTTATCCAACTCAGCTGAAATAATTACAACGACCCCCCTTATGTCAATATCAGAGAATAAAATAAACAACTCCATCTAGACTCATCAATTGGGAGTGTATACAGTGTCCTTCATTTCCTCACCAAGACCTCCAGAGTGTGGTGAAAATTAAGTACAGCCCGGCCCGTAAAACAATCGTGAATATGAAAAGAATAGAATACACATCATGAAGCGGAATCCAGACAGAGCGCCATTAAATTAAAGTCATCCGAGTCGTGCAGGGGTTGTATAGGAGATCCTTCGACGCCGCACAACTATTGTATCTTCTGGCACTACAGGTGATGGTAATGGTAATACCAACAATGACGGTTCATCGATACTTTGAGAGCCATCACTCCTAGGTAATCCTATGTCATCGAGTGTTGTCGGTCGTGGAACCTGGGGTGTCTCCAAGGTTGGAGCCTTCTTGCTCTTCATCCCCTTGCGTGGTCGACGGGCTGGCTTATACAGATCACTTTTTTGTCGCGGATAATTAGACGAAAAGGGATCCTCTAATTCTTGGCTACTTATATGGTGTTGATCCAGCAGGAGATTTAGATTCACCGAGTCGTACTCAATTTTTTCAAATGGATCGACCAAAGTTGGCGTTGGTGTCACTGGATTGTCGGAATTGCATGCTTGAGATGATGCATCATCAGGAGATGTATTGATACCAATATTTTGACTCGATGCCTTAACATGGCTCCCACAAGTAGAAGCAGAACTGATCTTATCCACTATTGTCGACTTTGAAATGTTCGAGCTACGTTCTTCGCGGGTTTGAGCGCAGTCTCCTGTTAAAATCACCGAAGAGATTGTAGTTCCCAGGTCGTCGATCTCCACTATGTAATGGTTCCCATTCTTGTCCTTCGTCTTGACCAGGAAGGTTAGAGAATCTCCGTCTAGGTGGAGTTCCAGGGAGTATCGTATGTAGAAATATCCCTTCTTCTTTCTCAATACGGAGTGGTCCGAAATCTTTTTGCGAAAATCAACATTCAAGGTAATAGTTTCTAAAGTTTCGGGAAGAATTAGTCAAATGTAGGCTGTGAGAATGAGAGCAAATGTTGATTGCATACCGCACTGTGCCCCTTGAAGTTTCTTTGGAACAGTGAATCTACCTGGTCCAGGGTGAACATCCCAAGCGTTTATGGTTTCCCGCCAAGAAAGGTCATCATATTCACGGACGAATCGTTCTCGCCAGAGATATTCATTGTTATCTGAGGTGAAGATTTGTTTCGACGAGATCTTGTCACCCTAAACCAATTTATTAGCCGACTAGAAACTGGGTACCTAGTAAGATAATAAGAAAGAGGAAGAATACCACTTTACCCATCCAATCATGAGCCTTAAATTCCCACGAATGATCAAATTGGTTCCGGGAGGGCTGATAAATATCACGTGGTCCTTCCTTTTCCGACCATGGAAATTTTGTCCAGATAGAATATGAAGACTTTAAAAGTCTTGATTCCACGATATCAGGATTTGCGGCCATATCAACAGCCCCAGCTGCCACTGGCTTGCTTGTGAAAGTCAGGATTGTTTCTTCGAAGCTCTATTTTAGATTCATACCTATCTTGATGCTGGCAAAATTTAATATTCAATTCCTTGCCAAGCTCGAACAAGGCATCTTTAACAATACTCATCATGGAGTATCCACCGCCAAGAATCACACGCTAAATTTGTTAGCATCGAGATACTTGTTGATCGGCCAATGAGAACTTACGACTGGTTTTATAGGGAGCCGCTTGATAAAGATTCGTAACTCACTTACAATTGGATCAATTGATGCCTCTTCAAAGAATCCAAAGATTGTTTTCCTAATGTTTTGTTAGTATGTATTGCATAAATGGGATACTATATCATACCATGGTATTTTTAGCATGCCAGCTGACCAAGGCGGAGATCTGGTTTCATCTGCACGTATCAAGGCATGATAAAAGACGTAGCAATTATCCGAAGCAAGATGGCCTGGTATATTCTTTGCCTTTTGAATCTGCCAAATCCAAACAGGCAAAAGATCATCAAATATACGTTTGATATGATCCTCGATGTAATCATTCTTCTCTTCGAGTAAAGAGCGAAAATATTGTTTCGCGATGGGCCACACACTTTCGGAGCCGTATGGAAGACCTTAAACCGTGAATTGTAAGTAATATAGCGGGCGAAGGACATAGTCTAGAATGAAAGTTGTAGTGGCTACCACAGTGTACTTACTCAAAGGTAAAATGCCAGCTGGGGAGACTTGTGTCACCGACTTCTTGTCTTCATCCAACCCAACTATTTGGTAAGCGTCAATATCCTATATTGAATCAGCATGATGGGAGTGAAACTGGAAGTGACAGGAGTTTACAAACCACAGTATAACCCCCACAATCAGCAATAACAATTGCATCATCTTTCTGTACGGTTGTAAGCATTGGAGGTCATTGAAAGAATGAAAACTTACATCCAAACTTTCTCCACTCTTGAGATACTCTCGAAAGAATGCCTCTGTTTCAGAAACGAATTTGATCTGACGACGAGTAAATCCAAGAGATTCTGCAGCATCTTGAAACACTTTGTAAGTAGACATCTGCCAGCCTGATGGTTTTCCAAAGACCAGACAAACATCTCCTAGATTGCATGATGCTCGTCTCATCGTCAATTTCAATAAAGCAGATTCATCAAAGAATAATCGATTCAGAAGATGCACTGCCATTTGAAATGGGAATTGATCAACATTGAGTTTTAGAAGCTGTGATTTGGCGACGATATCCATGTAAGAGTGGGAGCCTGGTTGCAAACCGCTTTTCCAATATCGAACTAATCTACAAGAATCAAAATTCATCGATAATCTTGCATCTGTAATATCGTCTCCCCAAAGAGGGACATTGGAATCAGGGGGGTAGTATAATCCTGAAGGGATAGTTGTTGATGTTGTCGAGCATACGTCGGGGGAGGCTGTTGACCCAAGGAAGATATCATGCGTCGTTCCATTTCTTCCAACTCGATAACATACTTTCGTGAGGCAGGTACCGATGTCCAAGCCAACGAATAGTCCTGAATTAGAGTCCATGACTGTTTATTGAAGTGGAAGAAGTACTAGGATATACTTTGCAAAAGAAAAGTGGTGAAAACTGAGAATGAGTGTAAAAATGGAAGTCAGAAAAGTTGTTGCAAAAGACGGAGTGATTGAAAGAATAATAAGCTGGAATATGAAAGATGTAAACATATCTGGAATAATCTGCCTGAGTTTCTGATGGGTTTGTTGACAACAGACAACTTTTCTATAAACAAGAGTCGCGTTCGCATGAACGATTGACGTGACTTTAAGGCTTTACCCGTCAGATCTCCACATAGAGAGGGGTGATTTTCTTTTTTCATCCTGCACAACACCCGTGATGCAGAATGCAGGAGATTGCAAATGCTCTTTCAAGTACATAGTTTTTCTTTTGCCCAGTTGATTTGTATCTTCAGTGCAACTTGAAGCAGTGATTGCCTTTTGCTGTAGAAATGTGCTTTTCCCGGCACTGTGCGAAGCCGCACATGCACCATCTGCCTAGTAGCCCCCCTGTAATATCTGCAACGTATCCGTGATCAAGTATTGAACAAAAATGTCGGGTATTGATGTGGTGAAGCAGGGGATCTTTCAAACAAGAACTTTTATTAATCGCGCATACCTACCTGGGTTTCCATTGATTTTAGAGGAGGGAAGGCCTCGACGCCACCAAGTGGCGCAATATTAAACCAGGGCTAGCCGCGATGCAGGTGTCCACAGAAAGCTTCAAACCACTACACCGAGTGTGTCTGCCTAGCAGCAACGATGTAGATACCCGTCTGTAGTCCCGAATATATTGGCATTGTATTCCTTGATCAATACCATATAACTTGCCTCATTCGCTCGAATGGCTTCTGTTGGAATCCGTGTCCCAAAACTGAGCCATTTTCTGTGCAAATCTTGACATCCCGATCCGAATTTCTTTACTTTTTCTTCAGGTGGTACTAGGGAAGTCTCGAACTCCAAAACTTTCGCAGTCATCGGGACCAAAGAACAGAATATTGAAGACAAACGTCGAGTTGTTGTTATGTTTTGGAATAAGGAATCCTCGGGACAACCTGAATAATAAATTGTTTGAAAAGGTTAAGATAAACAACAAACAGTTTGTTTATTGTTTATCTTCTGTTGTTTATTGTTCCTGATTTGGATTGTGGTTGTGTTTTTCGATATCTTAAGTTTACCTAGTAATCTTGTGTTTAATTATTGGGTGTTCTAGCATCTATTTGCAAGCACTCGATACATCAGTACCTGAGGTTCTACACTTGTAATATCTTCATCCTCATTTCAGTAGAAGCTCGTCATCTTCGATCGATTTATTTATTCAACATGCCGAGAGACACAACCAGCGAAACTACAATTCGGAGGAGAGAAAAGGCCGAGCAAAAAAGGATACAGGCAGAGAAAGACAGTGAGAGAAAAGCAAAGAAGATTAAAGACTTGACTGATTTCGGGACTGAGCGTTCACCAGCATGTGAAAGCTGTCTGTCAAGAGAAGTCAAGTGTATTGTATTCCCTCCAAACTACAAGTTCGATTCAACGAGCCATCCACTCGGGCACTGCGAGCTGTGCTATCAAAACAAGATCAATTGTGTATACGACTTGAAGGATGCCGATGGAAAGTGTGACCACTGTCACACACACAAAATGGAATGCACAAGGCGGCCGAAAAGAACGGAAAACGTTCCGTCCAAACAGCGAACGATGCCATGTCTAAATTGCAGTAAGTGAAACCATGACATATTGACTTCCCTTAATTACTAGAAACTGTCTTTTTGGTGGTGTGGCTTCTTTGCACTTTTTGGTTTCCATTGTTGAAACTTGCTAATCGAATTGTCATAGTGAAACTCAACAATAAGTGTAGCCTGCCAGTAAACCCAAAGACATCGAAAGTTCTCGACATGCCACAGGCTCCGAGGATACTGGGGGTGAAGCGACATGTCTTTGCTGTCCACACAGCGCCATGGTACAAGAGCTTGTCACAGGGTGACCAAAACAAATACAAAGCTGAGCAAATACAAGTCTCTGGTATTCCAAAGTCCGGCGGACCTTGCCAGCGCTGTGTTGTACGCGGATTACCATGTAGGGCGTTAAACCCAAATTCGAAAATTGCAGAGTTCACTCGGCCGAGCAGATGCGCACTTTGCATCGTTGACGAGAGCACGGCCGAAAACATCAGCAGAAGTTGTACATTCAATGATGATGGAATAACCCATGCCGAGCACGAGGCAAGCCATCCGATTTTTACAGGAAATGTTCCTCTGCTCTGGGGCCCTTTTGGTCTGGAAAAGCCCACACCAGCACCGGTAAATTGTACCGACAACAAATCTTCTTCGTTTATTCCATCACCACTGGAGAACGAAGTAATCATGCAGCATCCGCTTGAATCTGCAGAAGTACAAGAACGCCTTGAAAGCATTCATCGCTTTGTCGATTACACTTTAGATATGCTCGCCAGCGAGAATATCATACGGGATGATTGTCTTCCACTTTCTGGACCTAACATTGCCCAGATCAATGATCACGACCGGAACAATAGGAAAAGCATAACAACCGTTTCACTCCTTGTGAACTCTTTGCGAATTATGAATCTAAGTGATATTCCCGACTACTTCCAATCTTCAAGCCTGGAAAAATTGAGCATGAGAACAATATTTCGGGCGTTGGTATCACGATACTTGTTGGAAGCTGTTTTTTCGCGCATGCCAAAAGACATAGAACAATTTCGAGCCAGTATAAACCCCCACTTGCAAGGTCAGTAATACCCTGTATCGTCTGAAGATGAGTGAATATTAACATACTCTAGGATATCCCGAGAAGATTGATGATGCGGTTGAGAATTATTTCTGTCTCCGGAACAACAGCACACGCTTTGTCGACGACCCAATAAGAACTGGATATGGAGATCTATGTTATTTCCCAGATAACTTTACCTTTCAGAAAATTGGCAAGGAGTTAGTCGACGTACTTCTACCTCTATGTCTTCTCAGCGGAAAGACTCGACAAGAAATCGTCACTGCTTGCACGTCATCGTGTACCGAAATTGCTTATCTAGCCAGCGAGTTGAATCTCATCGTCAAAGCCAGACCTCGATCACCGGTCACATTCTATAGTCCTGTGCGAGGGGATGTTGTTTCTGAAGACAACGTTCGTCTATTCCATGACAACCGCAGACAGTTTGGTGAGGTACAAATAACGCTATTGCTCGGTATCAAACCTGCTGGCAATCCGTTGAGGCCTTATGCTGCTGCACGAGTTGAGCTTTTAAGAGATGGAGAGGCATAGATCGAGGCTGGAAGTAGCCCTGTACTAAATTAAAAGAGTTGAGCAGGTTAATGGTTGACGGTTGATGGTTTGAGATAGTAGTATTTGTATCTGATCACGTTGAATGGCGATATATTTAGGTAGTTATACAAGGGCAGTATGAAGATCAATTCCATTCTGGTATTGAATTCTTGTGTCTTGATCGATTGTGAAGATTAATCTTTTATGCATGGTCGTGGGTGAGTGAGTGAGCGGTCGTGAGGTATTATATACTTTCGGGTGGGATGAGTAGCGCAAATCGATAAAAGTCTACCTAGATAGGTAGGTACGAACTCAATATCAGAGACAGTGCACCGCATAATTAAGGTTATACAGGATGCGAGTGACCTATCATTTGGTGACACTGTCATCTATTCCAATCGTGCAGAAAGTTACTATCAATAGTTATCGTGAAAATACTGAGCTCATCGATATGTTATTTTGAGAAGTTCGCCGGCTTATCTTCTCCCGGATACAGACAGCATTGATGATATTAGGCAACGTATGCCTTTGATATCTTTTGTTGCGTTCTCTCAATGTCGAGATAACACGATTCCGATATTTTGGATGATAGTGATGACAGCGGCGATGGGAATGAGGGTAATGGGAATGAGGGTGATGCAAGACAAACCTTCAAAGGGTTGTAGGCCAATCCTGCCCAAGAGACGTGAAGAAGATGACTGATCACTGCTGACGCCGATCTCATGCCACAACTAGTGACATCGCCTCAAAGTACAGCTCCAACGACCATATCTCCGTGAAACTTCTGACTTCACTTTCAAAATCGATATCACCCACCGCCATGAGTTTCGCCTTTCCATTGGATCACCGACATGAAACTCGGCCTTATACGTATTTCCCGAGTCCCAATACCGTCAGAAACGCTCGGGCTAAAAGAAGATATTGAAGAAATCTTCCCATGTCTCATATCCACTCTTGACACCTTCCACGATCTTTCTCCACATCTTGGGCGATCTTAGCGCTAGCGAGTCATATAATTGGCGGATATAAGAATATAAGAGATCCTACCGCAACATCCGCGGTCTACTTGTATCAATCCGCGCTCTCAAGATTGTGAATCTGTTGCTAGTCTCTCACTTCGGGACCTTCTGAGCGCGAAAGGATGGATATAAGAGAGGAGAATGTACTCGCTTGATATACAAGGGATAATACTCAATTGATACCATCAATTTTTGAACTCCGCCGAAAGCCACATACCGGTACCATAGTAACCACACATACTTTTCACAATCACAAATCTGAAACCGATCCCGTCAATCGCCCGACGGATCAAATATCCACCGATATGGATCAAAATACTTCGGCTGGGGGGTCGATTGAATCAAAGCGAGAAAAATTATCAGGTAATGATTCTGACATTATTGCCGAAGAACTTCCTCGGGTTGCGCCGAATCCTCATGCCGATATCCCAAATGGAGGAGTTGTTGCATGGCTTCAAGTGGTCGGGAGTTTCTTCTTATTCTTTAATTCATGGTAAGATTTTCATTCCAAGAAATGGCACCCACTTAAAGCTGACAATGACAACAGGGGTATAGTAAATATGTTTGGTGCATTCCAAACTTTTTATGAAAATGGTTTACTATCTCACGAATCACCATCTAATATCTCATGGATTGGTTCTATACAAGCTTTTTTGCTCTTACTTGTGGGGGTTTTTACTGGTCCTCTCTTCGGTAATCTTTCCCCCTTTACCTGTCTTAAAATAACGAAAAACTAACTTCTTCCTAGATGCCGGTCTCTTTCGTCCCCTCCTGTGTACTGGGACATTCATGGTTGTCTTCGGGATGATGATGACATCTATCTCCACAAGCTATTGGCAAATTGTGCTTGCACAAGCTATGTGTATGGGGATTGGATTGGGATGTCTTTTTGTTCCTAGTGTTGCGATCGTTTCCACTTATTTCTCAACACGGAAAGCTTTCGCAACTGGCATTGCGGCTAGTGGAAGTTCACTTGGTATGTAATTTTCTCATTGGTTATCATACCATTCAACACAGCGGGAACGAGTCGGTAGCTAATATTCTCAGGTGGCGTACTTTACCCAATTATTTTCCATAATCTTCAACCTAAAATCGGCTTTGGTTGGACAACAAGAGCCCTTGGATTTATATTCCTCGCTACTCTTTCTATCTCCATCAGCATAATGAAGATGCGTGTGAAGCCATCGCAAAAGCGAAAGCTGATAGATCTGGCCGCATTCAAAGAACTACCATACTTACTCTTCACTATCGGCCTCTTTTTCGGGTTCATGGGTCTTAATATTCCATTTTACTACATCTCATCCTACGCCATGGATGAAAAAATCATGAATTCAAACTCGGCATTCTATATGTTGAGTACCATCAATGCGGCATCTATCTTTGGTCGTATTATCCCCAACTACTTTGCCGATAAATTCGGACCCTTAAATATCATCATACCAGGAACACTCATCGCAAGTGTTGTGGCATTCGGCTGGACTGGTGTTCATTCTGTTGGCGGTCTGGTCGTATTCGCCCTTCTCTATGGATTTTCCACAGGGTGTTTCGTATCAATTCCACCCACGATCATCGTAACACTTAGCCCTCACATGGGCGTCGTAGGCACGAGAATGGGTATGGCTTTTGCAATTGGTGGATTGGGTCTTTTGGTCGGTACACCAGTTGCTGGACAGATCCTCTCGAGTTCCGGATATGTTCCTACCATAGCATTTTGTGGAGCATTGCTTATTGCAACAGTGGCTTTTTTCATCGCAGCTAGGTTGAGCAAAACTGGGATGCATGTTAAGAAGTTCGCTTGATTTAGGAGAAGATGCTACGGGATAGATATGGGAAAAGCGGACGAGTAGCACGAATTACTAAATATCATGGATATGAGCCTCAAAAGAAGCGAACGTCACCATAGATTAATGACTTGTAAAATAGATTTCAAGATAGCGTTGGTTTAGAAAAGTATATACGCAACTTTTACAACTACACTCTCTGTTTTTATCAGCTTCATGAGACATTGCCTTCGACGCATTCTTAGTATTTGACCTCCTTGATTCGAATATCTTTCGTCCTTCCACTTTGTATATCATTGACATCAATATGAAGTCGCTGCTTGCTCTCAGCTGACAATGAAAAATTGCACATAGAGTTCCTCACAGAACCATCCACAATAACATTTAAGTGAATATCATATACTCGCTAACATCAAGATGCAAAAAGCATACTAGAATAGCCCAATCCTCAGTATATTCCCAGTATGCATCAAGTCTCCAAACACCAATTTTCCTGTTTCCACGACGCCTTGTTGGAAGTGAAAGTATCAAATCCCAAACAATCCCATCAATTTCCAAACCCCCAACTCCACAGTGCCCTAACACTATGTTCACCTTCTCCATCCATCGTATTTTTTACAGGCACCAACGGCACTTTAAGAACTAAACCCACATTAGCGTCACCCCCTGCCAAGAACACAACACACACTTACGAGTCGAGATATCCCTAATAGATTCCCTAGCAATTCTCCTCCCCAAATCAATAGGTTCCTCATCTTCATAAACAGCTCTCACATGACCCCTCTCATCTTTCACCATTCTTCCCCTTCGAATCGGTTTCGGTTTTTGGAAAAGTTTTCCTGATGTCTGGCTGTCTCGACGACTCGCACTACTTGCATTCTTATACTTATTCCCCGATTTACTTTTCCGCGCTGCCTTTCCGATAAATACCTCCCGACTCTTCCCCATTTTCTCCCTCAGATTCGCGATTTTTGCCTCCCCGATGTAGAATACCTTGATGTCTTCACCATACTCGAAAATGACAGGATGGCCCTCACAAGTTAGATGTTCGTCGTTGAATATAGAGGTTCGTCGAGAAGTGAATGGTCCCTTGGAACAGAAATGGATGGTTCCCCATCCACTTGCATATCCCGAGTCTATGGATGCAGAATTGGAATGTGATGTTTTAGGGGGCTTGGGGTCGGTGTTACTGCGTGTGCGGGTTTGGTAAAGGGTTGAGGAGATGAGAGGTTTGTTTGTGAGGAAGGGCATGCTAAGATGAGATGAGATGGTGTGAGATGGGTTGAGATGGAATGAAATGGGGTGTTTGTGGAGTAAAAGGTTAGTGTTAAGGTTACTTTAGAATAATGATTCTCCACTATGGATAGTACCGCGACGCTACATTATAAGATATTACCAACACCTGCATGGCATTTTTCTTCGGTAATTTGTATGAGAAAAAGATTCGTTGTGGCAGTAAAACAGGATTTATGACGGTTAGTTGAAACTTTGACCTGGAGTGGTGTGTGCTTGAGGGGGGCGGAGGTTGGCGGTTAGCGGTTGTGAATTTGCCTTGCTCCAGCCTCTTGAAGGATCAACGGTTGGTTTTTCTTTTGTAATACAACAAAAGATCAAAAGTTGATGGTGTTTATGACGCAAGTTGATATTGATATTTAGAATGGTCTGTTGCTCGAGTAAGTCGAGGGACACTTAATCATGAAATACCGTTGAAAATGAGTAGACACTCTATATTTCATGAGTGTGGAGAAAAATAGTAATAAAGATATAAATACAAATTGGCTAACTAATCAATCACCTCAATCAAAAGAAATGACAATAAAAATAACAAAATACCGGCTGAAAATGGAGGGAAAAGAGCGAATGTAGAAGAAATTACATCGTGACTCCTATAGGCCTAGACCTTCACCATCATACACGAGTCCCTAGCTCATACACACGATGCTGATTGAGAGATGCTAAATTAAATTTTCTGTAGTCTTGAACCTGATAAGTATGAGGCTTATGATCATTGAGAGGGACTCTCGCCACATATCCAATCTTATCTCTATTCCCAGCAGTTTTTGGGGCCGAGGAATCGGGATTCTCCCTTCTCCTAGAAGATGGCTTATGTCCATTGCGGGAAGAATCGTAACCATTATTGGGGGGCTTGACTAATTTGTTGTTAACTTATTACTCTAACAAAATAAGTGATGAAACACAGAAACATACCTTTCGCATCTCTCACACGACTTCTGCTCGAATTTCTATCATCTCTTCCACGGCAGTATTTCGGATCAGATACAGCACCAGAGTCTTCGATTCGATCTCTTGGGTCGTACACGTCTCTACGCGGGCGTGGATTAATATGTGAAGTTGCTGATAATTCTGTATATGGTGATTTCAGCATGGTCGGAGGCGCATCTGATGACGTTGTTTTTCGTGCGGCCAATGAATTTTTCGAACTAGAACGGCTGCTTGGAATTTTTGGTTTAACCGTGGATCGACTACGAGTCGAACCTTTACGTTGGACTGGTTTAAGAGAAGCATTGTCTCTGCTTGAAGAACCCCCGTCTCTCACAAGAGACCCGTCGCCTTTACACTTGAATTCAAGACCGTCTTCATCTTCATCCTTCGAACTGTCTGAATGGCTGAATAACGATCTCACACGTCCATGCTTTTTTGATTTGGGAAGTTTCGGGCTGGGCTCACCAGTTGTGGGAGTATGCCATGTTTTGGATGTGAATAAACCAGGACGATGAGATGATTTGTCTTGGACATAATCCGAATGTCTTCTTCGTTCTTGCTTTGGCCTATCACTATTAGATTGTACCGAGGCGGTAGCTGGGTCTTTTGCCGCCTTGTCTTTGCTTTTTCCAAAAAACCCAGGCATGGGGTAGCATTGATTACACGGTTCAAAGAGGTATGGTATCTCTATGTGTATAGCACGGGTGTTATGGTTCAAATATTGCAGTTAGGCATTGTACTAAATATAAAACATGTTATCACTCGCTTCACTCGGCAGCTGGTCATGGGTAGCGGAGGTCAAATCTTGGTTAGAATCCGCTTCATGGCTCACGAGACATTGAAGAGATCGATCGAACAGGTGAAGACCTATCCAACCCGATTTCTGGCCATCAATGATTTTTGGGATCTGAACTCGACCTTCAACGCGGCTTTTTATGATGTCTTCAGTCTGCAAGGGGTAACTAGCACCACAAACCCAGGCAAAATTTCAACTTTCCATCATTTAGAACGGCAATAACAATATAAACAAGCCTAGTAATATGAAAGGTATTTGCGATTTTGGCAAAACCATCTTGAGATGTGCCTTCCTGTACAATATCAAAGACTCCCCGCACAGAAGATGGAAGATTTTTTGATTAAGCAATTCAAATAAAGAATTGTGCTTTGAAATTCCTCGTGTCATTGGTTAGGAGTCCAAGACATCCTCAATTCCTAGTGACCAACAAGTACACCATGAACAGTACCGCGCGGTAAGAACCAACCAACAAATCTAGCGACGGCCAAAGGATTATTCAAGAACTAAAACCAGAATATGATTACATAGTTATGGAGTGACAATTCTAAAGAACCATTGACTCAATTCAAACTGATGCAAGGTCACTCGACCATTATAATTTGTTGATAGGTGCGATGTGCATGGATTTCGAGTTACGGTGACACATCCGATATGATCAAGATTATGTCATGGTAATACCGTTCTCATTGGAATGAGGGAATTGTGTACATGATAACTAAAGTCAGCTAGCCCCTGGCCTTCGACGATCATTGTGCAGTCAGACCAAGAAGACTTTCCGATATCATGAGCTATGTTTGTATTGAAATATACCTCAATCGACGATTTCAACAGCTATGTTGAAATACTTAAGCTAGCTGCAAAGAGCGATACCAAATGGAATACTCTCAAGGGATCAGAATCTAAAGATGATCATTCTGGATACTCGAGAAATCGTTGTCTTCCGCGTCTTGATTCGCCAAATATTCAAGCTCGTAAATAATCGAAGCGTCTACAGACAGAATGGTGGCACGGGGCATGCTAGAACTTACAGAACATGGCCAAGCAAATACAACGGTGAGCTCAAATTTTATCGCAAAGAACGGGATCCCTATGGATATTCTAGAAGGTTGGAATGTTCAGGCTCAAGAGCTCATGTCGTATGACGTGATACCAGCCATGTATAAATATGGATATGACCCTGCCCAGCATTGTGGTAAGTTAACAAAACCAATCCAAAAGCATGCTGCTCACTAAGAAAATGAAGTTCGACAAGTAACCATGGTCCATCTGGACCCCTTTTGAACTGGTTCGGGTTGTGAGCCATACTTGGGGTCAAGTTTTCCTCGAAGAAGTGCTTGGAAACACGGTGGACGGTCTCGAAACTATGAACTAATGAGACAAAAAAGCTGTCATCTTCTGAGACAGGAGTCCAATGCCGTTCGGTTCCCCACGTGGAATGATCAATAACAATGGAAATTGAAAGCCTTCCTGTCTACACAATTATATGTTGGTTTCGAGTATCAGATTGTATCCACTTCAAATCATAGGTATCTAAAGCCTGAAAGCTGTGAACATGTACAAAATCCTATTACTGTGCGAGAAACTAGATTGTTCAAGTCAACAAGTTCTTTGGCTCACCGCCAGTCGTCATTGAGATTACATATTTCTTCCTGCTGGGTTACATACCTGTTGTCGTTTAGCTAGGTAACTAGATTTGCTCGCGATATGCTGATATGATGCGGGGTAAAATAGCGCACCACTCACAGACTTGAAACGGTCATGCATACGATCTGCTAAAGGGTGATCGTCATACCGAAATAATTCGGGGAAGCAAGGGGCTCTCGTAAATCTTCTTGGCAGTCGCTTGGCAGACGTTCAGCTTGGGTCAGCTCATAAACAGCTGATGAGATCGATGCACCTATGATGGCGTTAAGGGACATCTTATGAGGAGATAAAAGGATTGATATCCCATAACTTCATTCGTTTCCTCATCGATAACTTCTCTCATATCTAATAATAAAACTTCCAGAAATTTGTCAGAAAATGAAGCTCAGTCAATCCCTCAGTATCTTCGCGCTCCTCGTAGTGTCGACTGTCGCCGTGGCTGTTCCTCAAGACAAAGCATGCACAGTATTTCTTTCTCTCCACCCTTACCCCAGGATTTTGAATTATCAAATCTGATCTTTGAACCATAGCAATGTCTCACTGAGGGTACTTTCTGCTCTGGATTCGCCGGTCCTGTTGGCACATGCTGCGATGGGTTGTCGTGTGAAAACGAACCGGGAGTGGCAGACGATGCTCACTGCATTCGAAAGAAGAAGGTTCGTGTCATTTGTGCCGTGTCCTGAGATATGATACATGATTGGATGAGGGTTGTACTGACAATGCCTTCCGATTTAGTGTTTGGCGAAGGGTGCTACTTGCGTGAGCATCGCTGGTCCCCAGGGTACATGCTGTTCTGGAAAGTGCACCTTCGTGGCAGCAGACTATAGTGTTTGCAAGTGAGGAGAAGAATATAGCAGATTGAAAATGCGCTTTTGCTGTGTTATCACTGGCAAACGGCCTTTGGGAATTCTCATCTTTTCTGTTGTTAGAAATCCAAACCACTTTCTCCTATCTCTATCTTTTCAAAAGAAAATCTTAATTGTTAGCATCGCATTTCTTCGAAGCTTGTCATTGAAAGATCTAAAAGCTAGCAATGAACTCATGGCCCGTCATTTGAATTAAATTGTGATCTAAATGCTAAAGACTTCCCAGCGTTTAGACATGTACAGACAAACATCGCGCTTGTCATGACTTATAGCTATTCAGAAGTAAAAGCGTCATGTGAGCGTCTCCTGGCAACCAAAATACTCTAAAAGCCCCGGGAACTTGTCTGCCAGAAGCGTAGTTTACTCTTCTTGTCCGTGTTGATGTTCTTTCTGTGTCGATTAGTGGGTGTGGAGAGATCTCGAATTGGTCACGAAAGAAGCTTTGGCGGTAAGCAAGGGCAGAATTTAGCTCCAACGACATCCATTATATAAATTCTCTCTAGTCTTCAAGAATTCAATATCTAATTTGTCTCTAGGCTCAGAGCAGAATAGACTCGCCAATCACTTCTTTTCCACCTTGTTTGTTTGCAAAACTGCACTTTCGTCACACCATACCTCGGCGTTCATGGCTACAATCTACTCTTTCTTGACCGTCAATCTTTGTCTCTGAACAAATCATGCTTATTTTCTGCTAATCTCTATCTCAAGCAACTATACAGACTCTCGCCCCAGGAAATTTATTCATTTTGCTCTATGCCAATTGACTTGCTACTTAGGTAGATCACGAAACCTTGGATTTGCATCATGAAAGGACTTGACTGGCCATGATGGTGCCGAATTATTGGGCTAGAGAGTCATAAATGACCTCGCCAGGTCTCTCAGTTCCAAGCGTCTTCATCTCAAGCTAATGGCAACTAAAATAGTCACCTCTGCTAGAAATAGTAGTCTATTCTGTGTTTTTAGATTTTCCGTCTGCTAAAGTTTAATCACATAGGGTACTGCCCAAGACTACATTGCCTTGAAATTATGTGCTTTAGTACAGCGCTTAAGAAACTATAATTATACATTCTTCTAGAGTATGGTGGCTGCGGTGTTTGAGAATCTCAAATTTCATCATATTTTGCTTTTGTATATGAGATCCTTAGTGTGGAAGTTTCACGTGCTTTCTTATGAAACCCCCTTTCTTCCGCTTATAAAGTTTCTTTTATGAACAAAAAGTTGACTGTTTTCATAATTCGCGGACCAGTTTTCCTGGAAATTGTTTCCATGTATTCCTCTGACTTCGTATCATCTGCCTCAACTGTTGTTGATAGCCGGTCCCGAGTATACTGCTAAAACTAATCTCTTGGCATAAAAATACTCAGATTCCTGGAGTTTCAAACCCTGGGAATCTGTCTTGCATGTTTTTAATCATCTTCTCTATTTTGGCCTTTACAAGTGGCGTCACCCTCTCACAGTCCGCCAGATCAGAATCATAATCTGCCAGCATATAACGCCTAATCAACCGTAAATCGACCTGTCCCTGGAAGAGAAGGAGAACATTCTTTCTGTATCTCTTCTACAAATTCGAGGAGATGGAGCCTTTCTCTCGTGTTTCTGATATTCAGAGCTCGTACTGACTGTTCGATGCAGATCATTACGAAAAAATTCTGCCATATATTATGAACTATTATTGGCGTATAAAGAAGCATCGACGTCCATGGCAGCGGGGCTGTACCGTAGACGATCCGATAGCTCTTCCTTCTCACCTATCTTCGCGTAATTGAAAACATTCTAAATTCGTTGAATGAGCATTCCGTAGCATTTTCCCGTTTCGAGGCGAAACTGTTGATTGATGAAGGATGTGATAGGAGGAGTACAATCTTTCTGCCGCATTAAGTACGTTGCTTTGGGCTTTAGCACGAGAAAAAAATCGATATCTTCTTTCTTTAAAGAAGAAGTCAACTCTTTATAAGCGTAGTGATCTCTCCTTGGGAAAACAAACATGCCAAATCAGCCGGCAGACTATTGGAAGGAATCCGAAGCAGGCAAACTTCTTGTTCAGAGGTTTATCATATATATATATAAGTGATATATAATATATACGCGAGTGGTGACTCAGATTTAATATTGTCCTTTTTTGAATATTGATTTCAATTTGATTATTTATTTACAATAATAAAGGACTTGTATATATAGGCCTTTCAGGATTATCTAGAACCTTTTATTTTATTTTTTGTATTTCTAATCAATGTCGTTATCGCTATAAGACTAGAATTTTCTATAAGCCTTTATTAATTCTGATTATTCTTTATTTTTAGTAACCTTAAATATAAGGTATTAAGGTTCAACAATCCCCTTCCTGTATTTTGTAAATATTCCTATTCTTATTAGATCTTTAATAACCCTTTGATACAATTCATATATACTGATGCTGATAATGGCTTTATAAGTAAATCTACTAATATATCTTTAGTTGGGCAATATTCAATTATAGTCTTTTTATAGGCTATTAGATTTCTAATATAATGATATTTGATATCAATATGCTTAGTGTGATTGTGAGCTATAGGATTCTTAGTTAATGTTATATATTCTTAATTATTATTATAAACTAATACTTCTAAGTTTTTGTTTAGATATTATTCTCTATGAAACTCTTTTAATAGTTCTTTCAATTATTATTCTTATTTACTAGCTTTTAATAAAGCTATATATTCAGTTTCAATTATTAAAATACTAATACAGTATTGTTTAGTTGAGTTTCAATTTATAAATTCTTTTAATAATAAATATAGGTGTTCTGATATCGATTTTCGATTTATTATATTCCTAGCATAATCAGTATTACAATATCCTTATAGTTTTGTAGCTTTATTTATTTGACTATATTCTAAACTATTGTCACGGTGTGAGCTCACGTGATATGCTGGTCCTATCGGAGAGGACCGAAAGGAGTGCTCGTATCGGAGTGCAAGCGAGCTAGGGCCCGATCGGGCTAGCTCGCTGTAAGAATTCCGTATATCTTCAACTCAGAAGATCCTGTATTGTAGCTCTTTGAGCTACGTCTTAATCCTCAATCTGAACCTATTACCCGAATCAGTATAGCCTTGCCAGATTAGGGCAAAGTTATTAGAACCCTATCCAGCCCGCCTGCCCCGTGATACTACGAGCTCCTCCCCCGCCGCTTCCTCTGTTTTGTTTATCAAGAAGGCCGATGGAGGCCTCCGATTTTGTATAGATTACTACGCTTTGAACAATTTGTCGGTCAAGGATCAATACCCCTTACCATTAACAAAAGAATTTCTAAACAATCTGAAAGAAATGAAGTATTTCAGTAAGATCGATATCATCTCTGCCTTCAACAATATAAGAATGAAAGAAGGGCAGGAATACCTGATTGCATTCCATACCCGATTCGGACTGTTCGAATCCTTAGTCATGCCGTTCGGGCTGATAGGGGCCCCTGCAACTTTTTAGAGATTTATTAATGATTTTCTACAAGAATATTTAAATATATTTTGCATTGTTTATCTAAATGACATTTTGATATACAACCAAACTCGAGAGGAATATATTTGTTATGTTTAAAAAATCCTGTAAGCACTAAGGGAAGCCAACTTGTTTACTAAATTCGAAAAGTGCGAATTCCTGAAATCCGAAATCAAGTTTCTAGGTTTTATTATAGGAAACAATAATATCCAAATAAACCTAGAGAAAATCCAAACAATTGTGGATTAGAAATTGCCTATTAGTATAACCGATATCTAAGTATTTATTAGGTTTTCGAACTTTTACCAATAATTTATTAGAGATTTTTCGAAGATTATCAATCCAATGATAAACCTAACCAGAAAGAATATTCTGTTTTTGTAAAGCCTTGTTTGTTAAGAAGTGTTCAATCAATTGAAGCGAGCATTTACCAAAGTATTTATTCTGATTTCCTTTGATTAGGAAAAGAAAGTGATTATAGAAACTAATGCCTCCGATTATATATTTGTTGGAATACTCTTTTAATATAATAATAATGAAATACTTAAATCTATTATATTTTTCTCTAAAAAATATTCAGTAACTAAATACAACTATGAGATTTATAATAAAGAACTACTAGCTATTATCCATTACTTTAAAGAATGGCATCCCGAGTTAGAAAACACCATATTATCAATTCAAGTAATCACTGATTATAGAAATCTGAAATACTTTATCACAACAAAACTATTAAACCGCCATCAAGCCCGCTAATTCGAATTTCTGTTTCGATTTAATTTCCGAATTACCTATTACCCCGAAAAGCTAAATGCCAAACCCGATATACTGATTAAAAGATTAGAAGATCTCTCTAAGAAGAGAGATGAATGCTTTCTACATTAAAACCATACTATTCTGAAACAAGAGAATCTGGATCCCGATCTATTTCCCACTATTATTACCCTAATCGAATCCAAGATTGCTAAAAGAATATACTTCACTGTAACCACCCATAACCAGAAAAACCCCAACCCTATCAACACCACCAACCACTTGGATTCCAACAATACCATAACTTTACCAGAAAATAGCAAAGTTATAGAGCCTGCAATCCCATATACCATATCTATACCCAACCCTGTAATACAATTAGAGAATCCAGAAAACCCTCTAAACCTTTCTGCCAACCTGTTTACCCTATTCCACAAAGACTACCAAACTAACCCTGTACCCAAATCTATCCTGAAATCCCTATAAAAAGGATCCCCGAAACACCCGAAAATCACTCTTGCCAAGTATATCGAAAACAACAATCTATTATACTACCAAGAGAAACTATACATTCCCAACCATAATCTTCTGAAAACCTATCTACTCCGTTTATACCACAAATCGCCCGCCACTGATCACCCACACTATACCCGAACCTTCGAATTACTATCCCAAAACTACTACTGGTCTGGATACTATGATTATATTACGCAATGGGTCTATAACTGCTATAGTTATTATTGCACTATTCCGAATCGCAAAGGCTAAAAGGGAGTTCTCCGTTTGCTCCCAATCCTGTAGAAAGCTTGGCAAGATATTTCAATAGATTTCATTATATATTTATTCGAAAATATTAGTTTCGATGTTATTATGGTAGTAATCAATTGATTGATGAAAATGAAATATTTCTTATTTTGTTATAGTATTTACAACTCTGAAGAGGTTGCCCACCTGT